GATTTTGTCCAAATACGAGAGAAATATTGAAAAAATAAAAATTTTTATTTTTATTTTTTCAGTTAATTTTTAATAAATTTAAAAGAATATTCAAATGTGTGGGTGGAAAAATGTTTTATTGAATGGATAAAAAATGGCACGTTAGACAAAAATAAAAAAATAAGGGAAGTTTTTTGCATTAAAATGAAAGGACAAAAAATTCATTTTATTGAGTGACATTTTTTTATATAAAATTATTATTTTAAAAAATATTAAATTTTTAAGAAAAGCTTTTTTCTAAATTTAAATAAAGGAGGAAGAATTTAAAAAAAAATAATTAAAATTTAATTTAAATTGTTATATATATTTAGTACATAGAAGGATTTTCTCTTAAAAAGTATATATAGATTTGTATATATTAAAATGAAAGTTTAAAATACACCTATAGTTTATAGGCTTCTTTTAATGTTTTAATAAGTATTACATGAGAATAAATGACAAATTTTTTCTTAAATTTTTTTTTGAATTTAAAAAATTATATAAATAGTTTATGTATTTTTAAATAATTATTATTATAAGAAGAGTTTTAACTTTTAACAGAACAATTAAAAGGAATTACCAACATTAATTGATACATATCTTTTCACTTTTTTTAATTTAAACTAAACTTCCCAATTAATCGATTTTCAATTTCACAATTCCTCTTAAATCTTTTAGCAGTTGGACTAAAAACTAAAAAAGTTTTGGTATAAAAAAACAGTTGTGGCCAATTGGGAGGGGGGGGGGTATGTTTGTGTGTGTGTGTGTTTATGTACTTTTTTGAAAAATCTTTTTTTTCTAAAACATTTTTCTTCTTTTTTTTTCTACTTCCTTTTACCCGCCTGCTTTTCCCCCTTACACATTATTTGGTTTCAGATAAAGAATTGTCAAAAAAAGGAGAAAAAGGGGAAGTAATACAATTAAATTTATTGATAAATAAATATTTATTTATTTATTTAAAAATTTTTTTGAAGATTTTTAGAAAGACAAAAAAAATAAAAGAAAAGAAATTTTTGCCATTTTTTTAATAAAAGAAATAAAATGAATAAAAAGTATTTAGTTGTAGTAAACAAAAAACAAAAAGGAAGTACATAAAGCTTAAAAAAGCTGATGACTAAATAGTAACATCTAACGGCACACAAATTTGATTCAAAAAAAAGAAAAAGGGGGGAAATGTTTAAAAATAAAATTAAGACAAGAAAAAATTTAAAAAAAAAATAAAATAAAAAAATTCGAATAAAAATTTAAACAAAAAATTAAACTTAAAAAATAATATTTTATATTGTTAACATATCAACTGATAATTTTCTTTTAACTTCCCAGCATTTTCCTCAACTAACTAATTATTCGTTTCCTCTAGTCGAGATGGGTATGAATATCGAAAAACTTTTTGCCAGAGAAGAAAACTCAAAAAGCTTTTAGAAATTACAAATAAATAGTTTTGATCTCGTCTCCCATTTTATACATACTAGGGTTATTCACGGTACCGTATTATCACGGTATTTTTCGGTAATACCGCGGTATTTTTACCGAAAATACCGATACCGAAAAATCGCGTTTGAATAATACTAATACATACATATTAAAATAAAACAGAAGAAATTGCTGTAAGCTAATGGAAAAATAACAAAAAACTTCATTTTTTAATTATTTATTTTTGTATATTCATTAAAATGTTTTTAGATAAAAAAAATAAAAATATTTACGTATATGAAAAGTACTTTTAAATATTCTAAAATATATTTATTTATAATAAACATCTTAATGGATATATGTGAAAATATTTTTAGAAAAAAATATTTTTATTTGAAAATAAAATGTTTGTTTAAAAATTAAATAGCGATTTAGTTAATTGATTAAAAGAAAATTAAAAGGTTGAAAGAATAGCAACGCCTGACTCTTCTTTATTTTTAAATTATAAAAGAAAAATAAAAGTTTAACAAAATTGTGTAAAAAATTGAAATAAATAAATATTTTTATTTTAAAAAATTTTAATTAATTTTTCTTTCAAGCAAATTTTTTAATTTTTAACTTTTAATTTTAACAAAGATTTGCAAGAATATTTTTAAAAAAATAATTATTTTCTTTTAAATAATTTTTAATCTTTTTTGCTTTTACATGCCTCATTTATTTTTCCCTAAATTTTCCGTTTGGCTAATCAAAAGAAAAGAAAAATAATTTTAAAAAATTAAATTTAATGATATTCTTTAGAAATTAAATTTTATTTCTCTTCTATTTTGTAATCTAAAAAAATTTAAAATTATTAAAAAATAAAAACAATTTTTCTAATATTTTTTAATTCTTAAAAGTGCAAAAAAATAACAAAAAATATTAATAAGCAATGAATTTATTTAAATATTTAAATTGTTTTTTGCCTAAAGGTTTGACAAATAAAAAAGAAAAATGTTTGTTGTTGGATGTGTGTGTGTGAATATTTTTATTTTTGGATTTTTAATTTTTAATGAAAAAAATATATTTGTTAATTTTCGTAAAATAAACTATAATTCTCTTAAATATTTCAAAAAATTTCCTTTTTGAATTATATTTTAATGATCTTCGGATCTTTAAATATTTTTTAATTTCTTGGGTAATACCAAAAAAATAAATATAAAATAATTAACTTTAAGGAAAAATTTCGATAAAATGCAGATAAAAATAGGTATCCCTTTTTACTTTAAAAAGAGTCATTTTAACACTTTTATCAAAAATTATAATAGTATTTTATTTACAAAATAATTACTTGTTATTTATTAAACAATTGAGAACAAAAGAAAAAATATTTGGAAATAAATGATAATTTTTTAATTAAAAATTAAATTTTAATTTTTAAATAAAATAGTGAATGTTTAATTAAACAAATTATTTGAAATAAAATTTAATATTTAATTTGCCTCATAAATAAATAAATTTGTATGGAAGTTTACAAATTTAAAAAAAAATTGAAATTAATTTTTTATATTTATTTATGACTTTAAAATTAAAAATAATTTATATATATTTTTTTAAATTTTTTTATTTCTTTCCATATCCCCCTCCTCCCCCACAACCACAACCCCCTCCACACCCTCCTCCGCCACCACAACATCCACCTCCTCCTCCACCACCTCCACAACACCCACCACCACCACCACCACAGCTTTGAACTTGATATGTTTGGCAGCAAGTTACTGTTTGGGTACAACAACTTTAAATAAGAACAAATTATTTTTAGTAATTCTGAGGGCGTCTAAGGGTGCTCTCGAGGGTGTGCTTATATTAAAGCATTTACGGTATACTATATTTTTTTGTGAATACCCTTTTCCAACTTGTTTAAATTCAAACCAAATTATTATAAATAATAGGTCCAAGAAATTATTTTTAAAAAACCAACCCTCCTCCCCCTCCACCACAACATCCACCTCCTCCACCCCCTCCTCCTCCACAACAACAGCAACAACCTCCACCCCCACCTCCCATACTTCCAAATAAAAATGCATCAGAAATATTTGTTGTTAACATAAAAATAAATAATAAAATAAAAATAGATGAAATTAATGAATTAATTGAAGACATTATTATTTTTTTAAATCTACAAAACTAACAGGGAGAAAATAATTTAAAAAATTATTTTTAAATTGCCCTAAAAATAATTTAATTTTAAATAAAAATTATTAAAAAATAATTTAATTTTAAATAAAAATTATTTTTATTTATTTTTTCTTAAAGACTGAGGAGAAACAACAAAATTTATTCACATTTTATATAATCCGGATCCGGCGGAAGAAAAAAGGGAAAAAGGCAAAAAACAAGAAAAAAACGTTAATAATTCAACAATAAATATAAAACCGTTTTATAATTTTCGCGCACCTGATTTGCCGTCAGCCGGTTTAAAAGAAAAGTAAAAGAAAAATTATTTTTAAGGTGTCTAGTGTGTAGCTGTGACTTGCTTAAAACTTAAAAGAATTAAATTTATTGGGGAGAAATGTGTATACTAAAATATCCTGCTGATATCCACAAAAATAAATTAAAAATGTTTTTTAACAATTAATTTTTGGGAAAAAAATATTTTTTGTTATAAAGTTTTTGTAAATTTTTCTTTGAATATTTCAACGTTATTTTGTGAAAAAAATTATAAACAAGGCTTTATTTTTAAAATAATTCTCTTTTTTAAATTTTTTAAATTTGTCCTTTTATTTTTCTTTCCACAATAAATAAACAATAAAAATCATCAAAAGAAAATGTAAGGTCAAATAAAAATTAATTCATTTTGTGGTTATTATACCAGTTCCGTGAACGGATAAACATAATTATTATTCTATACCGGTATTTCTTACACTTTTTCTCTCTTTCAGTTAATTTTCCCTTTTTCCGATGATTTTTTTCTTTCAGAGATTTGATTGGATATATACTAAATTTATTAAAAAATGTATCTTTAAACATTTACTATTAAAAAGAAACATTTTTATTAAATGAAGAAAAAACACGAAAAAGTATATGTATTTTTAAAAGAACAAGTACATAAATTTATGACAATCAGAGCTGCGTCGAAATAAAAAAATCTTCGAAATTCGGAAATCGAAAATCGAAAGAAATTTTGGAAGACTAGAAGACAGATTTCTTCATTTTTCAGCGCCGCAGGCGAAAATTTTGAGAATTTTAAAGGACAAGTAGCCAAATTTCTTCATTTTTGGCGCCGCGGGAATAAAATCTTAAGAGAAAAGATAATGCAATTTTGCAAAAAAAAAACGAAAATCGAACGAAAATCGAAAAAACTAAAATTATCGAAATCGAAAATCGAAATTTTATGAAAAAATTCGAAATTCGGAAATCGAAAATCGGTAGAAAAAAACGTCGAAAATCGAAAGTCGAAAATCGAAATTTCGACGCAGCTCTGATGACAATACACATTTAGAAAAATCCAAGTATACGTACATACATAAATAACAACATTATTTATAACTTTCCCTTTATTCATCGAAAATCACATTCTCCACACTTTTTGTTCAAGAATCATCTGGTTGTGACCCCCTTCTCGGTGGTGTTTTCTTCAAGTCTGCTGTTGTATCAGTTGGGATATCCTTCACGTCTCCTTTTGATGGCCGTTGAATTGTGACTCTGGCACTGCTAACTGGAAAATAGAATTTTTCGAGATTATTTATTTAATTAGCTGGACTAAACTGACCTTCTGGACTTGAACGACGAGAAGATCTTTGAGATGATCCACCACGTCCTGTTATGCGACCGATAAATGATGTTGGAGCATCACGTTCAGCTGATGTGATGATTGCCGAATATTTATGGTTGTGTCGGTGGAAATTCATGTTTTTCTGGATGATCCTTGTCACATCGGCTGGAAGACTATCAGGGCTGACCTTTGGAATCGGGCGCGCTACTCTGATGGTTAGATTGTTGTTGTTTATTCCTTCAAGTATTGCAGATTTTACGCTCTTAGTGTCATCCACCTTTTTGCCATTCACACGCGTTATTACGTCCCCATAATGAAAGTTACCATCGGCAATTGATCCAGCCTCAGTGCCGCAGATTGTGACGTTATCCTGAAATTATAAAGATACATTTCGCTTTTGGCACTAAAGCGCTCACCTGAACTTCTCTCATGTTCACCCCAAGAGGCATACCGCCTCGCCGCCATTTAATCTCAAAGTCGAACAGCTCCCATTCATCTTTGCCTTGATATTCTCCCTCTAACTTCCTGATTGTGATCCTGTAGAAAGTGTCACGACGAACCTGGATTCTTAATTTCTCAGGTTCTCTGATGCTTACTCCCACGATCCGGTAAAAGTCCTCGGCTGTTGTTATTTCCTTAAAAGGAAAAAGACATTAAAGTGGTCCAACTTTTGCTTTGCCGATACCTCATCATTCAATCTTATGATCTCATCGCCAACGTAGACACGCCCATACAAATAGGAGTCGAAGCTCATTTTACGCACCCTGGGTGGCCTGCTTCCCTCAACGAACTCGATTCTGGGCTCTGTGGACCGGCGAGTGACTTGGACACTTACTTCGGTGATTGACCCTGAGAATAAAAGAAAAGATAGGCGTTAAGAGAAATTTAGGATGCAAAAACTAACCACGTATTGACATGGCAAATCGGCCCCAAACAGAAGATTTGTTAAAAAGCAGTGACACAGAAGAAAGCAGCAGCAGGAACAGGAACAGCAGTTAACTTAAGACTTAGTAAACAGAAATCCACTGCTTTTATAATAGTACATCTATGTCGGAGAAGAAATGCGAAAACCAAGAACTATAAAAACAGTTTATTTTTCCAACGAAACAACCTCCGCACAGATCAACCAACAATTGCAACGCCGCTGCTGCTCAACAAGTCTCCTGCCGCTACTGTCGTCTACGCCGCTGCTGCCCAACAAGTCTCCTGCCGCTACTGTCGTCTACGTCGCTGCTGCTCAACAACTCCAGTCGCAATGTCAGTCCGAAGTAAGTTGGAACTTTCTTGGATTTTGCTTAATCTCTAACAAATAGGTCAATTCATTTATTTTTTCAGGCTCGGTCAGCGAAATAAATGTCGAGGTCAAGCGCAAGCAATACGACCCCAGGATCGAGTTCGTTGAGAGGAGCAGGCCGCCGAAAGTTAAGAAAGTGGGCTACAACTCCTACCTGAATGGCATTCTCTACGTTGGTGATGAGGTCATCGGCCTGAATGATGAGGTATCTGCTAGGGGAAGGCAAGGCTTTTAATGCTTATCAAAATTTTTTTAGGAGATCCGTACAGCAGATGACTTCAACAGGATCGCGTGTGCTCGCAGTACTGAACCAGTCAGGCTCCGAATCCGAGTGCGCCGGGACTGCTACTACAGGATCACCATCAAGAGGGTGGAAGGCGAACAAGGCAATGGGGAGGTGCTGGACTTGGAGATCAAATGGCGACGGGGCGGTATGCCTCTAGGAGTGAGCATGGAAGAAAGTCGGGTGAGTCGATCGGTTTTGGTTTAAAGGGTTTGAGGGTTCTTTTAAATTACAGGGCCGAATCACAATTGGCGAAATACAGGCCGGATCAATTGCTGATGGCAACTTCCACTATGGGGACGTAATGACGCACGTTAACGGCAAAAGGGTGACGGACATCAAGAGCGCAAGACCTGCAATTCTGGAAGCGATAAACAACAACAAAAGCCTAACCATCCGTGTGGAGCGCCCGGAACAATTGGGGGAAGTTTCTCATCTTCCGGCGGACGTGGCCAAAATCATCAAGCGACAAATCAACTTCCATCGCCATGCTCACAAATACTCTGCGTGCATCACTTCAGCTGAACGGGAAGCGACAACATCTTCAATCCTCAGCCGCATTACTGCTGGACTTACTGGAAACACATCAAGCAGATCTTCTCGTCGCTCCAGTCCAGAAGGTCAGTTTCATTTTCAAATAAATATTTCTAATTTTAATTGAAAACTTTTTTTCAGTTGGCACTGCCAGAGTCACGATTCAGCGAGCATCCTCATCAGACGTTAGGCCGATTCCAGCCGATTCGACAAATGACTTGAAGCGAACGCCACCACGCCCTGGTTCACAATAAACAGATTGGCCTGGAACCCAAAGTGAGGAGAAAACAAGCAGTGTTCGTGAAAGAAGGAAGTGTGATAAATAATGTTGATATACCTGTATTTTTTAATGTTTTGTATCGCGTAATTGTATATTTAATTATGTTTTTTTTGTTGTTGTAAATGTGTGTGTATTGGTTGGTGTAAATAATAAATGTTTATTTTCGAGTTGTTTTTTTTTGGAATTTCTTTAGGCTTTGAATTATTCCCTAACCATTTTTCTTTCGAGCCCTTAGAAATCTTAGGCTTCGGCCGTTTTTGATTAAGCAAATCAATATCCAAACTTATTTTACTTTTTCCATACCTCTTGAAAATCTCTTGAAAATTTTTGGTTTTTACAACCTACTTTGGCCAACTTTAGTAGTACCATATTAAATTTAATTTAAGTTTCTGTTCGCGACAAAATAACTTTGGATTAATTTTGGTGCTAAACTAATTTGGAGAGCGATTGATTTTTAAAATCAAGATTTATTTGATCAGATCAACTACGAAAGGTTACAAATCAATCCTACTAGTAAAAATAATCTTTATATCAAAAGTTTTTGATTGATTAATAATTATTTAAATCGGTTAAGAATACAAAAAAGTTATGGCCCACCATCGATACTGAATCGGCCCTCTACCGACCACTCAAGTAGTTTTTGGTCCACAACTTTTACTATTATCTGAAATGGCAAAAACGTCCATTCAAAATTTTGTTATTCTAAAATACGTCCTTACCTTTTGAGAGGATACTTTATTTTATAAAAAAATTTATTTAATTAATTTTTAGAGACAGGCAGCTTTTGTCAATTAAATTTTCATTTTTCTGCAGCTAATTATTCTTTTTTTAAATGGCATCTTTACATGTTTGTTTTTATTTTATAATTAATTTTGTTTTTATTTTTTTATAGATCAAATCCAAATTTGATTCAGAATTTCGACGTTTTTCACTTCCAATAAATACAGAAAATTTTATGAGTTATTTAGAATTTCGTGGTTTTATTGAAACAATTCATTCATTACACAACATTCCTTTTACACTTTCATATACAAGTTATTCTGGTGATTTACTTCCAATTACTAATAATGATGTTTGTTTGTTTTTTATAATTTAAAAATTGTTTTAGTTGATATATTTGAATTTGTTATTAATTTGTAAATTATAAGTCCTTAATCTCACTCAAGTCTATTTGTTGTTTTTCTTAATCCTTACTAAAATTAAGAAAAAAATAATTTTTATATTTTATTAAACAATTATCCATAAACTTTTAAATTATCTTTGAAATCAAAATACATAGATACCTAGTCTATCAATTTGAGAATAATTGTCCACGAAATTTTGACATTGAGAAGGTTATTGGGTAATTCCGAAAATTTTTCGTTTTAAGCATTTATTTATTAAATTTCAATTTTTAATTCAAATATATATTTTTCTAGAATTTTCGAAAATCACTTGAATCATCCCGTCCATATCTTCAATTATTGATACAACGAAAAGGGGAGTCTTGGGAAGAAAAGTACGGTTATGGGACGGAATCTGCAGATAAACGGCGTCGTGGATTGGCATCTGTGCTTATTCCTTCAAATGCTGGAAGAGACAAACGAAATTATAATATTTCTAATCCTGAAGATTTTCGACAGGTTTTTTAGATTTTGAATTTTAATATAAAAAAATCATTCATTCTGGTAGATTTTGTAAACTAGATTTTAATTATTTTTCCTTTCATTTTACGGCTTTAAATTTTTTTTATTTTTCGGACTCTCTAAATGATACAATACATAAATTTATTTCTCACAATCATTGTTTCTCTTTAAAAAATTTTCAATTTTAGGTTGCTCAAGTTATTGATGTAGATATTGTGCCTGTAACTCATCGTCGAGTACGTTTATGTAAATATGGAAGTAATGACCGTTCTTTGGGTTTTTACATTCGTGACGGTTTTTTTGACATTTTATCTTAAAATTATTTATTTCTTTAGGTACTTCACTCCGAATGACTTCACAAGGACCAATTAAATGTGATGGAATATTTATTTCACGATTATTGGATGGTGGACTTGCAAGCTCAACTGGTCTTTTAGGTGTTGGTGATGAAGTTGTTGAAGTTAATGGAATTGAGGTTTTCTTAAATTTTAAATTGGAAAATATTTTTTTGATTTTTTTAGGTTCACGGAAAGACTTTAGATCAAGTTGCCGATATGATGGTAGCAAATGCACATAATTTAATTATAACTATTAAACCAGCAAATCAACGAAATTCTTTACAAAGGACAGGCAAGAATAGAAATTCTGGTTATCAGGTTAATTAATTTTTTTGGAAATAATTGGAAAATTTGGGGAGAGGGGTTAAATAAACAAGAATTATCATTATTCATTCAAAAATAAATTAAATTTCATTACGGATTATGTAAGGCCGACTTCCTTGAATTTGTATTAAAAAAAACAAAAATTCCTGTAATGGTAATCTTCTAGTTTACTGGTCCCGAGAAAAAAATTAGGAAGCAGTGCTATTTCGATATTTTTAAGGGTTACCAGTAGGTAATCGAGTGTGCTGAGTCCAAATCTGAGCTTAGAATTTGCTTATTTTGAACCCCGGACCCGGATTCGAACAAGTCGAATTAGAGGTAAAAATTCGAAATTAAAAATTTAGGGTTATTCTAACACAACTATTCGAGTAGAGTAGAATGTTATCAAAATTATGATGTTTCGACAACTTTGGACGAAGTTATAATGCCGGTTTTTTACACAAAAGTCTATAATAACGTGTATTTAATTGATCATAACTTCGTTTAAAATGGTCGAAACTTAATAATTTTGCTACCATTCGACTCAAAATAAAGAGACGAGTCAGAATAACCATAATATCGGAATTTCGAATTTTTACACCTAATTCGACTTGGTCGAATCCGAGTCCGGGGTTCGAAATAAGCAAATTCTAAGCTCCGATTTGGACTCAGCACACTCGATTACCTACTGGTAACCTTTAAAAATATCGAAATAGCACTGCTTCCTAATTTTTTCTCGGGACCAGTAAACTAGAAGATTACCCCTGTAATTTTTAGGATGAAACCCAAAACCTTTCTGCTTTTACAAATGATAAAATGCCAATAACAAATGGGAGCGGTGGAAGAGTATATCCAGCAAATCAACAAATAACACAAATACAAACATCTAATAACAATAATATCAAACATTTTCAATCACAAAATGAAAGGCAAAAACAACAACAATTATATGAAGAAGATAACGATGATGATGAGGGAGAAGAGGAGGAAGAAGACGAAATTGTTGATCATACAAAAACAGCATTAAAAATTCGTTAAAAATATTTGTGATGCCTTAAAAATGAATTTCGATTTTTGTCACAAATTTTATTTTTAATAATATTTACAATTAATATATTGTAAAAATATAAAAGATTTAATTTTTTTAAATATATTCTTTAAATTATTAAATTAAATTTAAAATATACTATTTTGACAACTTTATTTTACCATTAACAATAATCATTTTTTAATCGTTTTAATTTTTTACTCTATTGAAATACTCTAGTGACCCTTTATAAGAAAATACGAGAGAGAGTGAGAAAAAGGCGACGCCACATGATTGGCGTTCTGTAAATATTAAAACTAGCGCGAATTAAAATCGTTTTTTCCCCATATTTTTTTCTGAAATGAGCCTTTACTAACTAAACTTTTTATGCTACTTGTTTTGATTTTTGTTTTTATTTTAATCGTTTAGAAATCCTAAATTTTCAATAATTTTTATGATTATTTATGTCTTTTATAATTAAATTTTTCCATTTCTATATATAATGACTAATTTAGGCATGAATAATAACAATCAAGCGGCTTTAGACGCCCAACGCAATGCGCTGCAAGATGAATTGAGGGAATTTCTTGATACGTGGATAAATCAGAACGAGAATGCAGATTGGGATGTCAACCCGCTGTTGCGGAGGTGAGGTGTTTTCCTTTTATTCTAATTAACGTTTTTACAATTTCAGAATTGCCGAGTTGCTTGAGGAATCAACTAATGAGTTTATGCAGAATAATCCAGATCCAATGGACGATAGGTTGTTTTAAAATTATATTTGCTTGTTATTAAATTAAAAATTATCTATTTTAGACATCCCTTAAAGTCTCAACCTTCGCATCCTCTTGGTCACCTTCTCAAGATGATTACTCGCGTTGAGAGTTTCGTCAATAAGGTTTTAAATTCAATAAGGTTTTAATTCTTATTTTTAGCTTGTAATTTCCTATCTTATTGCTCGAGATAATATTGAGAGAAATGTCCTTGCTGCTCGACTCATTATCAATCTTCTTCCTGGAATTGATACGAATGTAGTTCTAGCGGTTTTTTTTCTTTTGTCTCATTTTTTAAATTTTATTTAAGGATGCTGATTCTCTCATCACACAACTTTTTCGTTGGGCGGAGCATTCGGAGTCGCGTGAATTGCGCACATATAGCATGGCTCTTCTTGGAGCAGCAATGGGCGCCGAACAAGCTCATCAATATAGACAGAATAACACGGTGTTGATTCCTATAGCATTGCAGCGACTTAGAGCTCTCCATGTTTGTTTTTAAATTTATTTAAAATTTTTCTTTATTCTTATGAATTATGATAATTTATAGGCAGAAATGCTTGAGAATAATCAAACGAAGAGTGACGAGTATATGGCAGGAATTAACCAAAGGAGTAACAGCAAGGCTAATCCTACAAATTTTGCTCATATGCGGGAGTCTGAGAAACATGAAAAAGAATTTGTATGTTTCATTCGAACATTATTTAAATTAATAGTTCATTACTTTCAGGCTTTTCCACTTAGACCTTTATCCTCAAGTAGAAAACGATCAGTTTCTTCTAGACGTATTGATGGAGTACATTCGCCTCCTCCAAAACGTCTTCCATCTTCTCCAACACCACATAATGATGAGAAACAAGATTTGGAGGTTTCTTCAGAATTTACTTCTTGCTCAACTGCTACAAATAATGTTGTAAGCCTGTCGTCTGTAGAAACTTTAAGAGAAGCAGCAGGATATGGAATTAGCTATTATGACGAATCTCCAGGTGTTGGTTGCAATAGCAACAGTAGTTGGCGTCAAACAATGCAACCGATAATTGTTGGAACGCACAAATTATTTCCTTTATCAATTGAAATGGAACAACGATTGATCCTTCACTATTTGGGGCCAACAAGCGAATACCAGGATGTATGTTTATTATTATTGTTATTTTTTGATAAATACCCCCGATTTTTAAATTTTGTAACCTTACATAAGAGCAAATTATGGGATTTATAGCTTCATTTTTCATTGACTCAAATGTCAAATTAGTTTTCTTTACTTCTTTAGTTTTCTTTACTTTTCTCTCTTTTCTATTTCTTTTCTATTCATGAGATGTTACACTTGAGTCGTTGATAACGTAAAACCAACAAAAATATAAAAAAATTAACAGCCATCATATTCTTTTAAATTTTAAATTAATATTCTTTTAGAACCTCTCAATTGTGTTGGAACATCATGCTTTGGATGTTGTTCTCTCGTATTTGGCGGTGGACGGATATCAACATACATGTCGCGATATTCGTCTTCTTTTTGATGCAATCCGTTACATATCATCACTTTTAATTCATCGGAAATTCGCTTGGGAGTTTATCTCGGCACAGGGTATTCAAAAATTGTTGAAAATTAATCGTCAATCGTTGGCGCTCACAGCTGTCGCTACTTGTCTCTATTATTTGGCCTATTCTTCTGACATTATGGAAAAGGTTTAGAATCTCTATTTAGCCAACTTACTAATTATTTCTAATTCAAGGTTTGTCATTTACCTGATTCCTTGCTAAATGAAATGGTCGATTATTCCTTATATGCATTAGATCACAGTCATGAGAGTGGTCGTGCATCAATTGCAATGTTTTTGGCTTATGCTTTACAATTTCGAGCAATTCTTGATCGATTTGATCAACGTTTGTTTAAATTAAAGCATTAAATTTATTTGTTTAGGTGATGGATTGCGTCGTCTCTACAACTATGTTTCAACTCTCACGATTCTTCAGCGGAATGACATTGATGAGGATGATTTAATTAATGATGAGCATTATATTCAAAGCATAGCTACAATTAAAAATGCTATATTTGCATTTAGAACGTAATTTTTATTTATAATTAAAATTTATATGTCGGTTTTTAGTTATTTATCTTCTCATGTCTTCCTTAAAATGGAAAATATGAAGCAACGTTCACAGCTCGGGAAAAGTAGTCACCATATGCATTATTATCAAGGCCGTCGAGTTCCAGCTATTCCACATGCCATTCCAAATATTGCTCATCCGCATTCTAAACCAATGGCTTTAGATGAAGAAACTGAAAAAGGATGTATTGAATATTTGTTACGTACTCAATGTATGTTACAACCGCATCATCACAATTGGAAACCAGTAGAAGATATGCGCGTTTTGGGCGTTTTCCGTTTGTTATTTACCCTTATTTCTAAATATCCTGACTGGTGTCATTGGGAACGACAAGGAAAGGCCGATACACTTAAACTTGTTTTGGAGGTTTTGCGTTTGGCAACAGTTTCTCCTAAAGTTCAATTGGACTCTTGTGAAACGATGATGATTAGGCACACACCGATGCAGGGACTTGGGTATGTTTAGACTAAAAGCCTTTTTTTGGGTTCAAATTTATGGCTTTTTTAAATTTTTAGTCTCATTCTGGAAATGGCAGATGGAGAACTAATCAATGATTCCCAAATACAACGTCTTTCCCTTGAAATTCTTAACAATTGTTTATGTAGCCCAACTGATCAAGACAACTATCTTGGACTGAATTATCGTTTTACTTGTGATTTTGATTGCGACATTCTTCCCAAAGAGTTGTCTGATAAATTGTCTGTAGTTTTCGATAAGTCAAGCGAAGTTCCAATAGTTCCAACAGCACCACTGAATAGTAATGCTGTTAGTCTTTTCTCTGGTCAGAGGCCATTAGTAACAAGAACATCGACAATTGCACAACATGTGACAGCAGCAGAATCCACTGTCAATAAAGATAAAGGAGTCAAATTATTCCTCGTACCTACGCAAATTTTGCATATTCTTTGGAAATGTGCGCAACAAAATAATGCAATAATGGTATATTTTAAATATTTATGGTAGTTATTAGTGAGCGGTCAAGATCAAAATTTTATTTTGATTCATGATAGTTATATTTTTTAATTAAAGGTGTTGACGTCTTTGTTACATAAGCAAAGCCCGGCTACGGAAGCGGATTTAATTCGAGAGCTAGCTTGTAGAGCATTAAATGGTGTTGCTCGTTTTGAACCAATTCGTCAGATTCTCTCCAAATTGCCAATTATTGCTGCAAATGAATTGAATGGTAGAATTTTTGAATTACTTGTTTTTTATTGAAATATTTTTAGCCTTAATGCAAACACCAATTTTATTGGAAAAACGTATTGAACACAATCGTTTTTGTGAGCAGGCCCGTCATTTGATTGAATGCGTTAGTCAAACCAAATTACAGGATTTTACAGCTATGACAATGGAAATGACTCAAGTTTGTTATCATTCAAGATAAATTAAGATAAATAAATTTTAAGGAAAATTTATGGCGTTCAGCTGTTGTTGCTCAAACTCGAATCAAATTTAATGAAAAGGAGCTTTTGCAACTTATCTATCAACATCTAACAGATATTGGCTTTAAAAAGACAGCCAGGCAATTGCAAACTGAGGCAGAATTGCCTAATTTTCCAGCAAGTCGTATTCCTTCTACACCTGCTTCTTTGCCTGGATTTGTAATAGTTTTTAAGATTGATTTTTAAATAGTCATATTTTTAGCCTCGTCAAAATCCAACTTCGTTTGCAAATGTTATTGCACGACGTATTTTGAAATTTGATGGGAATAATGCGCAAATAGCCAATAATGGTTCTAATACGGGTAAAATTTAATTTTAATTTTTTTATATATTTTATTTTCATAATAGAAATCCTTCCTATGTCAATAGCTAATGCATCTTCAACTCGTTTGCATTCAACATTAACCAACAATACAACTTTAATTGGCAACCGAATTCCAATGAAAATTCATATGAATACTACAAACACTCCAACAGGTATCGGCAATTCATTGCTTCCTTTCTCTTCTGCTAGTTATTCTGATGGCCGAACTCCATTAGGACAATCTTCAACTACATCAACTCCAGGACCATCAATCAGCACTTCAAGCATTTCGTTTTCATTGAAAGTTCGACCACATAAATCCCTTAGTGATATTGTTCATTCGTACTTTCGAAACGAACATGCAATGTGTCGAAATCCGGTAGCAAATTGTCCTCCCTTTTCTTTATTTTAGTAAGTTTCTGTATTTTTTTACATTATATATTTTAATTTTCAGTCCTCATCGTTGTCCCGAACCTAAATTGTTATATTCCCCTCCATCCAATTTTGTCAACCGCCTTCGTTATCGCTCTAATCCGCCATATAGATGCACAATGGAAGCATTGAGGAGAGAAGATCGTCGCCTTGTTTTCAGCAAATTTAGGTTTAATTTTAATTGTTAATATTTATTTATTTTTTTATTTTTAGACAATCAAAAACTTTTATTGAAGAAAATGAAACTTTTACATGCTGTCAACTTTCGGTGATTTATTTAATTTTTTAAACAATTTTTTCTTTTACTCTAGCATAACGATGAGCATGTTTTTCTTGGAACATATGCGGGTGAAATGTTTGTTTTTAATATTAGAACTGGCGTTGTGGATTCAAGCTATACTTGGTATATTATTTAAATTGGTTAAAATTTAAATTTTTTCAGTCATCATTCCTCTATAACTTCTATTCGTCCTACAAAGGTAATAAATGAATAAACTTAACAAATTTAAATATTTCTTTTAAAGGATCGTTTAATGCTTACATCATCAGCTTTTGTCAAACCATTTTCTATTCTTTGGCGCCTAGAAGCTAATGGTATTTCAATGAGTGAGCGTTTGACAGAATTTAAAGAAGATCAATTTGTTGAATTTGGAAATCTTTTAAACAATCAAATTGTTGGAACACAAGTAAAGAATTTTTAAATTAAATTTAAAGAATTTTCTATGTTTAAAATTAAATTCTTTTTAAGGGTCCAAAGGCATTTGTTTATGATACAGAAACATCCTCTCCTGTTGTTGTTCTTTTTGATGAACGTCTTGCAAATCATTATACTCGTAATCATGCCTATTTTGACCCAATGGATGAATTAATATTAAATGATGGAATTCTCTTTGATCCAAGAATTGGTCCTCATGCTAGAGTTGTTCATAAATTTGACAAAATGAATTTGGATAATAGCGGTATTTTTCACCCACGTGGCACCGAAGTTATTATTAATAGAGAAGTTGTAAGTTAATTTTATTATTTTTCAAGGATTTTTTAAAATTAATTTAGTGGGATCTCCGTACACGTCGTTTAATGCATACTGTTCCTGCATTAAATCAATGTCAATTAGCCTTCAATCCTACTGGTTCTATTATGTTTGGAATTGTTCATCAAGATGCTGCTTCAGAAATTGATGATCGTTTTTTCCACATTTTTGGCAATTTCTTTAGGACTTTTGATTCTACAAATTATGAGGTTGTGAAAAGATTTTCTTGTTAATTATTAATATTTTAATTAATTTTTAAGGTAATATCAACTCATGATACTCGAAAACCTCTTCTAGATTTATGCACCAGCCATTCCGATAATTTTGTTGGTGTTGTGGAAATTAGTCGAAATTCAGATGAAGATACAAATCTTTTTAAACTTTACGAAATTGGACGTCGTCGTGAAGTAGATGAAGAGGATGATGATGATCAGGATGAGGCAAATCCCGATGAGGAAGAAGATGACGATATTTATTCTTCAAGCACTGCTGATACAGTGAGTTCAGCCGGAACAGTACGAGACGACGAAGATGACGAGAGAAATTCAGATAGTGGAGGAGATCTGGTAGTAATAATTTAGAAAAAATTGATAATAAATAATAATTATTGAAAAATTATTTTATTTTTTGTTGTTAAATTCTGTAATATATAAATATTATTCAGTCCCATTTTACTCCAGTTATTACCTTACATAAGAAACTATGAGGGGTGTTTTTTGAAGTATTTTCTCTGGGCAAAAGTAGTTCTTTTATAAACCCAAATTATTAAAAAATCGCTCCTTCTCAATAATAAATAATTTAAAAATTACATTTTTTAGTCGACGCAAAGCATGAATGCCGAAGAATTATTTTCTGTTAATGGAGATGGATCGACGATGAGTGAACAAGATGACGAGGATAATGATGAGCATCAAATTGCTCTTGGAGAATTGGCAGGTGCTGAAATTGATTTTGATGAAGACGATGATTCTTCTTATTCTGATGAGGACTTCCCAACTGATTCAAACGATGATTACTCACCATAAATTATTATTTTTTTGTTTCTTTTTTGTTTTTTTCTGTGTATTGCTCGAGAATATTTAATGTCGTTTTTTCGGTTTTTAAATTGATTTTGTGTGATATCTGAAATATATTTGGATTTTAATTCACAAAATTTATTTTTGTAAATATTTTTTATTCCTTTCTTGATGGAAATTATTTTAAATAGATCTCCAATTAAGTTGTTGTGTCTATCTTTATTCGTTTCTTTAATTGCTATTTTCTTCACACTTTTATTATCATTTGAAAATAAGAATAGATTCCCAGCATATTCTGGCGAAGTTTGGTATTTATTTATTGCTCATCCAGATGATGAAACGTAAAAAAATATTTTGATTTTTTTTAATTGGAAATTCCAATTTATAGTATGTTCTTTTCCCCAACACTTTTTACGCTTAAATCTGTGGGCGTTGTTTTACACATTTTCTGTATTACTTCTGGTGATTCCGATGGAAATGGTTGAAAGTGGATATTTTATAAATCAAGAAATTTCGGGTTTTAGGTTTAATTAGAATTAAAGAGTTGATTGAAGCTGCCAATACTTATGCTGTTCCAAATGATCACGTACATATTTTGGATCCAAATGGGGAAATATTTGTTGATGGTTTTGTTGAATGGAATATTACTAGTCTTGCTGAAATATTATTAAAAAGAATAAAACAACCCCCTAAAGGAATAATTACTTTTGATGAATGGGGCGTTAGTGGGCATCCAAATCATATTAATTGCTTTAAGACAATTAAACTTTTAACTAAACGATGGAATAATACAAAATTTTTTGCCTTACAAAGTGTACCTTTGTGGAGAAAATATTTAAGCTTTTTTGATGTTTATTTAACAGAATTATTAGAAGGAGATAAACAAATTGTTTATATAACTTGGTCTGGTCCGACAAGGTACTTACAAGTGTATTTAAAAGAAATTTTCTCTTAATTTACAGTGCCTACAAAATAATGACTGACCATTATAAATCTCAAATGCGTTGGTTTAGATATTTTTATTTAATTTTTTCACGTTATTTGTATATCAACAATTTTGTTTTAATTAATTAAAAAATATCTACATATTTATTGAATATTTAAAAAATATTAAAGTGGCCTAACATATCTCAGAAAATAGGAAAAGATTGAATGGGACTTGGTCCAGAAATGATTTGCTTTATACATTAGCCAATTTTTTGCTATTTTCTCGAATGGGTTTGGCCGCCTTAATGTCCCAAAAAGTGAAGGTTTAATTTTTAAAATATTGTTTTAATGGCAAGTCTACAGATAAATAAAAAAGCTTAAAGTATTTAATAGAGAATTGGAAGATAGCACTAAAAAAATAATTTTAGACTAGATAATACTAAACAAAAATATATATTTGAGATTTTCAATAATTTATCCATTCTTCAAAAATATTTTGGCCGTATTTCCTGCATTTCTCTTGTAGTAAAGGAATGTCCATCTGACCGCAGCGGAGATTTAATAAAAGGAGAAATAAAAATAAAAGGCCAATTTTCTCCAAGTATTTCAAATAAATTCTTCCAAATTCCAAGATTATAAATATTAATATTTTGAAGATATTCAACACGTGTTTGTCCAATTGAAAGACAAAATAATTGTGCAATAATTAAATAAATATTAAAAGTTAAAGTTACAGCAGAAAATGCGAATGTTGCGATTAAAATAAATTGATTGAAAGATATAGCACCAAGTAAAAAAGCCAAATGAGGAAAAATAACTTTCCAGATATTAAATAAATTATTAAATATTGGTATTAACATAAAGACATTCCAACTAGAAAAAAAATATTAATTTTTTTTTTAATTTTTATGTAATTAAAAATTGGGTTGTTCCTTGTCCCCGGAAGTCGGGGAATTTGAAAAAAAATTTTATTCCCCGGAATTTCCCCGTAAAAATCCCGCTAAAGTACAACCCAGGCCCTCCTTTTTTACTTAATAATTTAAAATGTCAAAATTCCAATTTAAAATCATTTGTGAAAAAAAAGAAATTTAAAACTTACACAACACAGCTAAGAGTAATCGGTAAAAGATTAAAAATAGCAGCAACAAAATAACGCTGATTGAAATGACCAACACAACACCCAACAAACGAAGAATGGTGATCTCGACTAAAATTTATTAGAAAAATTAAAATATTTTTTAAAAATCATTACCGCAAAATACAAATATTACAAACTAAAAAATAAAAAAATAATTTAATTTAAATAATTTTCAAAAAAAAACCTGGACAGTGGAAAGAACGTGGGGGAGCATTAAAATTACATTCATAACAAAAACGATAGCCAGCCTTTTGCACTGTAGGCAACAAAGAAGCATTTGGAGAATTAGGTCCAACTTTAACAACTTTCCAAGCATTTAAGTAAACATTAAAACCAAAAAATAAAAGAGGAATAATTCGAAATAACCATTCCTAAAAATTCTGAATTTTTTAGTTAAAAGGAAATTCAAACTAACCGAAGAAAAGACTACATACCAATTCGTAAGAGTAACCAAAGCAGTATAAATAAAGCCTAGAGGCAAGAGCACACAAAAAATAAAAGAACAAACCTAATAGAAAAAGAAAACATTTGTTAAAGAAAGAAATTTTTTTATTCTAGCATTGTTGATAAAAAATAACCTACAATATCTTGAGTTGCAAAACGTCTCATAAATAAAGCCCTCATTGTTTCAATAAAATAATAGGTAATTCTTAAATTATACTTGATTTTTACTTTGATTAATGTGTTAAATATAGTAAATTAATTTAATTAAAATATTTAAATTAAATTTTAAAGAAATAAAAATTAAATAATTTAAAAATATTTATTTTTATTAATTAAGGAAAATGGATGTCAAAAAATAACAAAAAGAATAAAATTTAGAAAAAAAACATTCGGAATAAAAAATTTTTATTAAATATTTTTACATTTGTCAAGCATAAAATTTCCTCAAGTCACGTAAAGCCAAAATAACGTCATAAGATCTTACAGCACTAAAAAATAATTTTTTTAATTAAAAAACAAAACTCAAAACCTTAGTACACGTGTTCGAAAGTCTAAAAGTTGTTCAGGTGTAGCACTATTACCTCCATCATGAGGAATTTGTGAACAAGTAAAATTTAGCCATTCTTCCGCTTTCTATAAAATTATTATTTTTAAATAATTTTAATTAAAAATTACTTGTTTATCTAATTGTATTAATCCAAACATAATTTCAGCCATTTCTTTACTCAATAAAGTAGATAAATGAAAAAGTGCAGCAGAAACAGCTGATAACATAATTTGTGGACATAAAGACAATAATAATTGTTTTACACGTTGAACATCAGCTACTTGGATAGATGTCTCCTAAAAAATAAATCTTGAATTTCAAAAATTTAAATATTTTTTTACTTTTCTTTTTCCAGCAGCAACATCAATAACTTCCATTATAAATTTACTTAGCGAACGATTAGCATCTACTTGACAAATGTTAAGCCCGTTTATAGCACTCTGGAGAAGATGAGCAGATATTTGGTGGGAAAAAACGGAAGAAGGAGAACGCTGAATTTTTTCATAAATTAAAAAAATATTTTAAATTAAAAAAAACCTGAACAAAACGAACGGCTAACCGATAAAGGTCTATAAAAAATTAATTAAAATTATCAGCAAAGTTTAATTATAAAAAACGAATACCATCAACTGTATCTGGATTCATTTCAAAACCATTAGGGACAGAAGAAAGTAACAAAAGGGCGCGTGTAGCCAAATTCTGTTAAATTTTGAACAATTATTTTTAAAAAATTTAAAATCAAAAAAATACTTCAAGCATTGAGAGCATTCCTGGCTGAACAAATTCCAAATTTCCATACTCATCCACAAGTATACTAGCTAAATAGAGAAGGCACGAATGAGGGAAACGTCCATAGACAAGAATTATCTGCAAAAAATGTTTAAACTAAATGCCAAAATTTTATAAGTTATAACTTGATTAGCCAAAGGTTCAATAAATACAATTGACTGTTGACCCATTGAACGAATTAAAAAACGAATAGTTCTACAACAATGCTCAATAACTCCTAAAAATTTAATTGAATAAATATATTGAAATAAATATAAAAAATTTTCCCTAACGTTGTTTTTCTTGTTGTTGCTGCAATGTAACAAGTGTACATTGAACGACTCTTGTGCAGAGAGGCAACCATGGGCAATCTTGTTTTAGGCTTCCCTTTTTATATTCTAATTGAATTTCCCAAGGTTTGAGAATTCTCCAAACAGAAGAAAGTCTATCCAACCATAAAATTGGATCAGTTGAAAGTGTTTGCCAAGCATCACTAATATTTTCTTTATTACTTGTTGTAGTAGAAATTGGTGAAGTTTGAGGATCCGGAGGAATAGAATTAGAATTTATCTTTAAAAAATAATATTTTAACTTTAAAATAAATTTAATTAAAACCCTTTCAAGATTATCGATAGATTTGACAGAAAGAAGTTCAAGAAAAGAACAAAGTTGGGGAGAAGGCAAATCATTAATTAAATAAGTTGAAGCTTTAAGCAAATGTTGAGCAGCTTTTTCCATTTCCTGAGCCTTTCCTTGAGACTTTTCAACGCTCGAAATTAAACCAGAAAGAATATTTAAATATCTCTCATGTAATGATCGTTTTTGTATCTAAAAAATATTGATGATTTTTAAATATAAAAAATTAATACTTCTCCACATCCCCGTTCTACTAAAAATTCCAAGCTTTCAGCAACGGTTAAAGCCATACAACCATCAGCAAATCCAAAAAGTGTACAAAACCATTCAAAAGTTCTAACTAGAAAATTTAAAAAATAATTATAAAACAAATATAAATTAACCCATATAATCAGAATCTCCTTGTGATGGTGCTTAAAAATAATTCTAAAATAACTTTTACAGAAAATTTAAACCTGAAATTGTTTGTGATATTAACCAATCTTGAAGATTACCCAATAATTGTGCACTTGTTTTAAGCAATTGTTTATGGGTACCAGACAAAGGTAATTTAAGAATTGCATCCAAAAGTGTCGGAACAACCAACTTTTCACTTCTAATTTTATTTTAAAATTAAGAAATAATTTTTTAATTAAATAAAACTAACTCCACAATATTATTTATGAAAGAACTGATAATAAATAAAATAGCTTCCATTTGATCCCAACTAGTTGAAGTATTTAAATGTTCCATTAAAAGTCTTAGTAAATCCACAGATCCAATTATAAATGTCTTGTTAAAAAAAAAAGAATTTTTTACTAGAAAATTAAAATAAAAACTAACAACGTCCCGAACACTTTCTTGTGCTCTATATCTAAATTCAGCTAATTCAGATCGCTCACTCAACATTTCCTGTGAATCAGAATCAATTCTACAATGACGACAAAGTGACAAAATATGCCTTAAAATTAAATTTAAAAATTTTAAATTTAATTTCAAACTTTTCAACGAAAGGTTTAAAAGCTATTCTGAGTTCATCAAAATCAGGTTCATCACACTGGTAAAGATATTCTGATAAACGATACCAAACATTAAAACTCATTTCAACTAGCTAAAATAAAATCTATTAAATAAACAAAAGGTATATTTTTACATTATAATCATGATATTCATTAACTATTTGAAGCATTTCTAGTCCACGTAGATCTCCAAATCCATCACCTGGATGTTTGGCAATTTGTGTAAGAAACGCTTCACAATGTTCAGCATAAAGCCGAGTATAGTTAATAAGCCTGAGAAAAGCGGTGAAACTCGAAAAAAATCATAAATTTAATTTATTACTTATCACTATCTTCATCTCGAACAGCAGAACGAAAAGCCTCCCCAGTATGTAAAACTCCTTGTTGTAAAATCCTTGCAAGTTCAACTTGCTGTAGTGGAATATCTCCATCATTTATTAATTGAAAAGCATTAACTAAACATTCTGTAGCAGCATCATGTAGGTCAGAAGCAACACTGTTTTGTGTTAAACAACCAATTACAGAATGGAGTAAAGGAGAATGAGCTAACTAAAAATTAATAAAAAAATAAATTTTTAAAAATAAAAAATACAATTTCAGTTGGGCATTGTTTATTTAGTAGCCAAGAAGCAAGGCAATTTACGCAATTTGTAAGAGTGACAGAAGGAGAAGAGGCATCAGGTGATGAACACAACTGGGACTAAAAATTAATATTTTACAATAAAATTTAAATATAAAATTAACCAAAATATGAAGCACTTGAACAGTTTCTGCAGCCATTTCTAATTCAATTTCTTGTCTTCGATTCTCCCCAATTTTTAATCTTCTATTGTACAACTCTTCAGGAAAAATTCTGAAGAAATTTAAAAAAATTTGTTGATTCCGAGTATTTGCTTGCACTCCAAACAAAGCAATCAATTGTGGAATAAACCCTCTCCACTCTATTACCTTTATTAATTTGTCAAAAATTGTTTAGAAAAACTCCTGCCTGAATGTATAAATCTGATAGAGCAGCACAAATTTGAACTAGAATAGAAGAGACATTCCGACCGAGTTTAGTTTCAATATTGCTTTAAAAATATTTTAATGAACAAAAATTTTTAAAACCTCAATAATGACAAAAGGGAATCCCTTAAAGCGACATAAGAATCAGAAGGCAATTCATGCATTTGGTAAAGTAATTTATTTCTTAATGTTTGCGCTGCAAAAAGACAAGCATCAGAAGACCGAGCTTCATTCAATATTCTGTCTGCAATCGTCCAAGCATCAATCTATGTATCATATAAACCAAGAATTTAATAAATATTGGAATTAAAAGATACCGATTTTTGAAATTGCTCCAACCATTTTATTGCCGCTCCATTACGTGATGGATCAGGGCCATTTAGCGCATTTACTGCCTCGTAAACAGAATCCAAACTAATATTATCCATAAATGTTTTTAGTCATGAACTAATTTAACTTAAATTAATTACAAAATATTAAGAAAAGAATTGTTAAAACTGTATTAAATATTATTTAAAATATGTATACTATTCGTAAAACTAACGATTTTAAATTTCAAAAATAATAAAAAAATTTAACTTTTAAATTATAATTAAACAAAAATTAATAGCAATTAAAATAAAAATAAATCAGAGCGGGCTTCAAATAAGGCACGCATACAACCAAGTTTTGAATGAAATCCGCCAGCGATTGATTGAATAGATGGTTCGCGAACATATTTAATAAAATTATTTTCAATAAGTTCATATTCGCTAAGCATCGGTGGACCATTCAATGAAATAACAGGCGTAGAATGAAAATATGGTTTTCCAGCATGACGAACAACTCCATAAACTGCACGATCACTTGCTCGCTGTTTTTCTTCTGAAATTTATAATTGTAGGACAAGAATCAAATTAACGAATAACCACTAAATAAACCTGAAGCTCATAAAAATAACCAACCTAATTTGCTCCGCTTTATCCGTTCTGCCTTCTCCTTCTCTGCCATTTCATGCTCTATTTGTTTTTTCCTTTGTCGGTCCAACACAACTTCAGCAGGTAAATCACTTGAACGAAGTTCATCAATTACATCCTTTGGGTTGAATAATGATTTTTCTTGGTCCTTAAATTCAAACACCTATTTTTAAATAAAACAAAGTATTCACCAAATCATTTTTGTGTTGCCCTTCAAGTTTTCTCTTCCTTAACTCCTCCTCATCAAGCATTCTTTTTATCCATAAATCATCACTAGACGGTCGCCTCTTATTTCTTTCAATTAATTCTGAATTCTCTTCTCGGAATAATTTAACTTCTGCTTCCACTTCTTCAGTGTTAATGTCATTGGTCAATCTGTAAATTGTTCAAAAAATTGAAAATAATCTCAACCTTGTGCTAAAATAATAAACAAACAATAGTCTAATTAGTCACTTGAAAATTATATCCTCCACTCTTTCCAAATAATCATTATAATCGCGGAGATTTTCAAAGTCATCTTCTTGCAAGTTGAATGTCTAAAACCCTCCAAAACTTTAAAATCAAAACAAAAATAACCTTAAGAATGCGTTTTCTAATAAAGTTTTCTCGTTCTACTCGGAGATCATCAAATTCTTGAATCCAAAAGCCAGATTTTTTCAGAGTCCGGTCACAATCTTTGTAGGGGCATTGACCAACATTTCTTGCAAACAAATTCTCCATACAATTTTGGCATATTGGATGACAACATTCATTGAGCATCATTACAAGAGAGCGATTTTGGAATTCGCTTGTTTTGCATTTTGGACATTGTCGAGAGGTAGAAGTCCCATCCTCAGCCATCTTTATATTGCTTTATAAAAAGATTAAAAATTAAATTTTAAATTACTTAAGTAGATATTATATTTAAATTGTAAAATTATAAAGAAAATTCGGGTCACTAAATAATAAAAATTTATTTTTCATCACAATATAATTAAGTAGTATCATAAAAATATTATTTGTATATAAATTAAAAAATCGGAATCTAAAAGTTTTGTAAGTGATACAAGTTAGGGCGGTTAAGATTTTAAGTAAAATGAATGTAAAAAGATATGGACAAAAGAAAAAAATAAAGAGTGGATTTTCTAAATAAAATTAATTTGAAAATTAAAATTTTTTGAACATGAATTTCGGATCTCAATTGTACGTAATTACTAATTGTTAAGCTCTCTCCACCCTGTTACCAACCAACTTAAGAAAATTGTATGTAAATCTGGATGTACGTACAAGCGAGATCCGATTGTATCAGTAGAGAAAATCGGCCCTTAATATAATTAAGTAGAATTCTAAATATATCATATTTAAATAAAATAATTAAATTTCAAATACTTTGTTCGTTCTAATTTTCCTTACAAACGCCTTTTTACATGTATTTTTAAAGGGCCAACAATATTCTTTAAATGCTTTACAACATTTAATGGACTCTCATCATTGCGAAGTTCTACTCCTTGTACACGAACAATTTGATCTCCAACACGAAGAGTACCATCTTGTGCGGCCAATGAATTATCCGGTCCAATACTGCGAATGTAAACTCCATCGTATCCCACACGTTTTGCCAAACTCAATCCTATTTTTAAAAATAATCTTTACAAAATTAATTTATACACAAATACCTATTGGAGTATTTTCATTCTTGTTTAGTGTTACAACAATAACCTCCTCATCAAACTTATCAAATCCTCTTTGTTTTGCTGTTTTTGATGAATGAGGAATTGATTCTTCATTTTTTGGTTTTTCAAATGTTGTAAGATCATTTGTCCAATCCAAATTTAATAAAGGTTTATTATTGTTATTGATCTCGTTATTCGTGTTTTGACGAGCAAAACGTTGTAATGCAGCATCAAAAGGGGAAGATTTTGAAACATCGGAAGTTGACTGAATAGTATTTGCTCTTTGATATCCATTGTTTATCTTATTTTGCTTCTCTTTTGTTGCAGCAATATTAATATTTTCAACTTTTTCTTCATCATTGTTATCTTCATTTTCTATTCCATACATCGCCGTCACAGATGGCATTTTTTTAATAATATATTCACCCCTCGATGATTCGAGATCAGTTAAAGAGGAACGAGTAATCGTTGAAGAACCACCATCAGTACTAATATCTTCATCCTCATCTGATTCTAACATTCTAAATGTAAAAAAATTTCAACAAAAGGGCATAAAAATATATATATACGTCGTTTCCATAAATCCAACACTTGTTTTGTGCCGTCTATATCGATTGGGTTTAATTGCGTTAAGTCGAATTGGATCATTTTTTGTAGAAAGTGTTAAAATATCATCAGTTTTAAGTGTTGGTAGCGTCATACCACTGATCGCTCCAAAATCAGAAACTGCACGTTGCCGATGTGAAACATTTGGTTTTGAATTGTTATTAGTAATATTAGTTGCTTCGCTATAAAAAGAGATAGATTTTTTGAATTGGGTTTTGAAAACAAAAGGCTTGAAAGTTTTTAAAATAAATTTTAACATTACATTTTTTTAGTTGAAACACATTTCACGTTCTCGATGTCTTTTAAAGAATCATTGTTTTTATTTTCGGGGGGAGCAGAAGTACGTCTTCGTGCGGAAACTATTTGTGATTCATCATCTTTCACATTTTTAACAGAATGTGTATTTGTCGGTTTTCGACCAGCTGAAAATAAAATTTTAAATATTCAAGCAACAAAATTTACAATTTAGTCCATTAATTACACTTTGCAAAGGTTCCTTCGAAAGAACTACAGAGATAGAAGGGAAACGCAAGACTTCTAACCGGACCTTTCCACCACAATTTTGGACAATTTCTACAGCATCATGTCGAGTTCTGTCAAGCAAAGATATTCCTGTTAAAATTTTTAATGAAAATTTTCTAATATTTATTTTATCATTAAATCCTTTAGATGAAATTTATAAATACTATGCCATTTCAATAAATAAAAATTTTACCATTTATGCTCAAAAGACAGTCTCCAATAAGTAACCCCTTTTTGTGCCCATCACCTTCAGCAGCAACAGACTTAACATAAACACCCTTTACTCCATTGACAGCCCCATCAACAAGTGTTAGCCCCAAACCAAATTCGGGGTGCCTCTCAAGGACCATAAATATTTTTTGTGCATCTTGACCATAAATTGACTATTGATAATTCGGAATAAAAATAGTCAAAATAATTAAAAAGATTTATTACTTCATCATCGGCATCATTGCGCTCCTTATTTTCTAAATCTACAAGATCTGGTTGTCGACAAGAATTAACAGCAGAGATTCCCATTTGTGGTTGTGATCCGTTTCGACGATGAGTTTGTTTAGAATCCAATCCATCGATACTTTGATGATTTTGGTGAGAAATAACTTCAATTGAACCATCGATTGCAACATCACGATGACGTTGAACAGCTCGGACACGTTCCAATGTTCCTTGCCATTGACGCATTTTGAGCATAAAACTTTAATTCTTAAAATTAGTTAAAATAAAGTTTATAAAATACCCGTGTTGTGAGGCTGCAAAACGAACTAAATATCCTGATTTGGAATGATGATCCACATAAAATATCTAAAATTATAATAATTTTGGAAAAAATGTTTTGTATATGTACATTATCCACGGCTATTCCATTTTCAATTATTCCCAGCAAAAAACGTTTTTTATCGAATTGTAATGTTCGGATATTGCTCCATTGATGTAAGGAAGTAAATAATCGTTGGGCACCGTTTCTTTCTTCGCGGCAAATACCAATACCAGAAGGCTAAATTTAAAAAAATATTTTAATATAGATGATTTATTTAAAAACAACCATTATAGCAAGTAAACGAAGATCAGGAAGAAATTGCTGTTGATGTCCTTTTGGTTTAATTTTGTGAACTCTATAGAAATGTGATCCATAATAAGTCTAAAAAGAAAATATTATAAATATAAAAATATTTAATTACCTCCTCAAGGCAGAGAGAAATGAAACGTTCTTTAGCCTCCAAACGACACAATTGCTTCGAAAATTGTCCGTGTAAGGAAATAATTTCTTTTTGAACAGAAAGAATTTCTCCCGCCTTTAAATCGTAAAATTTTCCTGGCAAATAATTTTCCAAATTGAAATAATCTCCTTGTAAATTATTAGAGGTTGAAGAAGAAAACTCTTGATCTCCTTCATATTCAACACAGAGTGCTAATGCCTTTAATTATTTTAAGAAAACCTAAAAAATTTAAATAAAAACAAACAGCCATTTCCAATGCTTTTTCTCTTGGTTGAAAACGCAAAGTTCCAGATAACATATCTTGTCTCAATTGTAAATAAAGTTGATGGGTTGTTATCGAAGTTTTAATAAATTCTCTTTTCTTTGGATAAAAACGGAAACGAAAATTTAAAATAAATTGTTCTGTGTTAGAAAAAATTTATTTATTAAAGAAATAGAAGATTTAAAAAAACCTCTACCAATGCCACTTTTCCACCCTGGCGGTGCCCATTTCTCTAAATGCTGCCTTTCTTCAAGAAAAATAGATTCACCATTACGGCTTAAAAGAGCCAATCCAAAAAATAAATGCTCGCTAATATACAAATGCTCTGAAACTGTGTGAAAAACAGCGCCAACTAGTTGATCTGAAGTACAGTTAACCTCAACTGTATGTCCATCAAGAAGACGCACAAAGACAACAACAGGTTCTTGTCTATATAGAGCAGCGACAATTTTTTTCTAAACTTTAAAAGTTGAAAAAAGAATTTTTTGAAATATAAACAATAACTAAAAATATAAAAAAAAACATGTATTAACCTTTCTCATACTCTGTGCTCTTAGTCGAATACTTGGTTGACTTCTATTGGTTAAAAATTCAGGCACAGTTGGCAACATTAAAGTAGAAACTGCTGTTCCTCTTCCAGTTTTTGTATGATTGGGAGCAATACGACGACTACAACGTTCAGGTTGGAGAGAATTTTGCCTTCTGAATGTTCCACCAGAATTAAAGGGTTGCGAAGGAGATTGGGTATTTTGTTGAAAATTCTAAAAATTTGAAAATTTTGAAACTAAGTTATTCAAATTTACATTTTTTTGTTGAGGAGGAGAAATAAACGGATTTTTTTCGCATCCATCAATTTTATCAGCAATTTTATCAAACGAATTATTCCCATTTATTAAACTTGAAGACAACATTTTTGAATTTATTTGTTTATTAGTTATTTCTTCCTTTTCCCCATTTTTTCCGTTTACTTCAGAAAACGCATTATGTTCATTATCAAAAAATGGATTTGATGGAGAAAGAGCACGCGGAGTTGATGCATCCTCGCTTTTTTCGTTCTGGTCATCGAGTTTTAAGGAAGAATCCAAATTTAGAGTAATATTTTTTGAAATCTAAAAGAGAAATTTTTTTTATAAATTAAAAAGTTGAAGAAACAAACATCAAATCCAGCAATATCAAAATTGTTAATATCCAATTGCTCTGGATGATTTGTAACGCTAAAGTCTGAGAACTCCTGATTGCTGATTTTCTTGCTGGAGATTTCTTTAAAATAAAAATGTATTTTTAGAGTTATTGTCATTCTCTAACTGTTTTGAAAATCTGGCGCTCCTGGACCTGGAACAATACTTAAATGAGATGAACGTCTAGAAGAGAAACGAATATCATCACAAAATTCATCAGAAATCTTAAAATCAAAGTTTTGGCTAATAAATACTTTCAACAAATCTTAAAAGTAATATATTTAAACCCACCAACTCATCCAAATCTCCCAAAACTTCACGATATAGCCCAATAACAACCTGATGCATTCTACCAATATCAACAACATCGAGACGATTTCGAATCATTTGTCTGACTTTTTGAAGAGAAGGACGAGATTGAGGGTGCTCAAGAGTCATGAGATTAAGCAAAGAAAGCAATGCAACATCCGAATGTTCGCTAGACAAACACTAAAATTTAGGCATGAAAATAAATTGAAATAAATTATAATAAAATTTAATATTTAAAATTAAATAATGACATACCAAAATGCAACAATTTCCTAAACACCAAACTATTCGAGATTCACTATTAAAAGGTGATGTTGCACCATTAAGTTCAGGTGGAATATATTCTGAAGGCACTTCTGTAAAGGGAATAAATTGAATCTGCAAAAAAAAATAAAATTTTAATTAAAAATAATTTCTGTCAAAACCTTAATTTGTCCATCACTTGTAATAAGAATTTGATTAAGTGTGAAAACCTCGTCTTTACCCTCCACAAGTCGAAAATTAAATAGATAATCTGATGCTGTGAGCAAAATAATAAGAATTTCAAATTCTGTTAGTTGTGCACCGCGAACCTCGAGAACTTCGGCAAGTGAAACTTGCTGCTCAGAAGTCTCTAACATGATCGGCTTAAACCAAAAAATTCAAAACAAAAAATTAATCAGAAGAATCATCCACAATTTGCCGTACTCTGAATTGGCCATTCTGAATAGTAACTTTGAATTGGCCACTCAGATGAATCGGCGACCTGAGTCTCAGAAAAGCTTCGGAAAATTTTTCTGGTTACGTCTTTAGATTTCAGATTTCGATTTTCATTTTAGATTCAGTTATTGTCAGTTTCGTTCAATTGAAATGGATGCCGGATTCTATCGTGGCACTTCTACTGATCAAGACATTCGTTTTACAGATAAGGAACGGAAATTGCTAAAACAGATGCGGTTTGAACAAGTGCTTGATATGAAGGTTGGTTAAGGGCCACTCCCATATCATTTAACTATACGGTTTCAGAAATATAACTAGACTTGGACTCGCAAAACTCTTAGACCAACATTTAGATCCAAATGATTTACTATTCAGGGTAGGGGTACAATTTAAAATGAGCTTAAAGAAGTTATGTGTTCAAAGACTGTCAACTTTTTGAGCAAGTCCCCCCAACCCGTTTTCTTTCACTGGTTTCTGTATATTCCTTAACATTGGTATAGGTAAACCCTCGTTGTTGCGGAATCCGGCAAATTAAGGAAACGTTATTTTGAAATAAAGAGGGCGACTTCAATAAACTTTGAATCTTAGATCTATGAATCTTTCAATCATTTTAATATTTTTAGTTGCTACCTGTCTCAATTAATGGCTATGTGAAAGAGCAGTTGCGAGACCCTTTCTAAATTATATTTTAAAAAACCTTATAATTGGATATTTCAGAGAAGGGATCCGTTCTTTTGTTGTCAAAAAGCAAGTCTTTCTTCTCTTGTAGGTGGACATGCAGAAAGTCAACTTAAATGTCATCAAACCATGGATTACTCTTAAATTGAATGAAATTCTTGGTATGGAAGATGATGTGGTTGTTGAATATGTCTTTACACAACTTGAAGATCGTGATATAAATCCAAAGAAAATACAAATCAATTTGGCTGGATTTCTGAATGCCAAACGTGCACGTGAATTTATGGTAATTTTAGTATAAATCGTTTTTAAGCATATTTTTTATAGGGAGAACTCTGGCAAATGTTTGTTGAGGCACAAAACAGCCCCGAAGGAATTCCAGCCTCCCTCGTTGAAAAGAAAGTGATGGAATTGAAAATTGCCTCCGCGAGTAAGCCAGCTGAACAGACTTATGCAAAGGCTACTGAAGTAGATTGGCAACACCGTTACAAATCTCTCACTGGTGGACGTTATGGAAAACTTGATCCAAGAAGTTATGAGGTTATTTTTGGGGTCAGGGCTAGTTTAGTAGTCCAATAATTATATCCCATGACGGTCTATGAGCCCGATAAAAGTATGAGTCCGAACAAAAACTTTTGATTGAACTTATAAACTCAAAGGACTCATAAAATTTCGAACGGATTCATAAACTTTCATTTGACTACTAAATTTGATCAGATCCAGTTTTTGTTGTTAAAATAATTAGAAAATGAAATATATTAAGGTTGATTACAAAAGAGAAGGTTCTCCCAGACGTAGTCGTGAACGCTCTGGCGAGCGAGAACCAGCTCGACGCCGAGATTCAGATGAGGATCGACTTGAACGTGCAGAGCGCCGTCTGCGATATGAAGAACAACGATTTAAGGAACGAAAGGTAAATTTTAAGTGAACGTTTAAATTTAAAATGTTCATTTTTTGTAATCAATATTAAAAATTTAAATTTTCAATAAAATTTATCAAAAGGATCTTCTGCGTGAAAAGCAACGCAAAGAGGAACGTGAGGTCCGCCGACGCAAGCCTTCACCTTCTTCAGAAGACGGGTCTCCACCATTAGCATCTAGGCGCTTTGTTGAAAATGCTGAAAATTCATCAACGAAAAACACTCAAGAGTAAGCTAATTTTGAGCTATTTTTGTTTAAATTTAATCATTGTTTAAAAATATGAAAATATTTTTCAGGCGAAAACGAGGTAGAAACGACGAAGAAAGTCATAAAAAGGCTTCTAAAAGATCGCGTAAACGACATTCAAGTGGAAGTAATTCAGAAGATGATGAAGACAGAAGAAGAAAGAAAACGAAGAGACACCATAAAAAGGATAAGAAGAGCAGGAAACATAAGGACAGGGATTAACTTAGAGAAGTGATATCCACGTATCGTAAGGTATATTGAGGGAATGTTTCACACGTTTTTCTTTATAATTATTTTAAAATTTTCCGCGATATGGATTGAAAGGATGTTTTTTTTGGATATCATAAATTTCGATAACTTTTAAAGTATTTTTTGATATAATACTATATTATCACATATTTTTTAAATATACTTTCCGTTTTAAAAATGAATGAGATAAATTCAAATTGGGTGAGGAGTAAATGTAAAAATAAAAATGTTATAATATATTTATTTCACCGGTTGCAACTCATATTTCCACAACATTTTTTCTGTAATTCCTCAAACTCAAGTAAATCATTACCGTAAAAGTGAATAATTTCCGACCCATTTGATGAAAATTGTGATTGAGTGGGTGATTCCTTTTGTCCTCCTCCAGAAGCGTCTACCCTATGTCTATTTTGCGAATTCCAAAGCTCCGCGTATTTTCCTAATGAGGTGTAAAAATATTAGTTTAATCACATTTACCCCCACCTTCTTTAGCCAATAATTGTTTATGAGTTCCTGTTTCAACTACACGGCCTTCATCCAATACATAAATAATATCTGCATCTGCGATTGTTACTAAACGGTGTGCAATGAAAAGCGAAGTACGGCCAGAGTAGGCACTTTTTAATGAATGCATTATATTCTCTTCTGTAATTGAATCTAATGATGACGTTGCTTCGTCATAGACTATCTAAAATTTAAAATAATTTCAAAAAAATAAAACAAAAAGTTCTAACAATCGGAGAATTTTTAAGTATAGCCCGCGCAATTGCAACACGTTGTTTCTCTCCACCCGATAATTTTAGTCCTCGTTCACCGACCATCGTTTGATACGCATGTGGAATTCTCATTATAGAATCATGCAAATCTGCAGTTTTAGCAGCCTGATAAACCTATTAAAAATATTTTAATTTGTTTAAAATAATAAACAAACTTGTTCTTCACTTGCATTAATATTCCCATAATGAATATTATAATAAATTGTATCGTTAAACAGAACACTATCTTGTGGAATAATGGCTATAGCTCGACGAAGACTGTCAAGTTGAACGTTAGTTATTTCTTGACCATTAATTGTTATTTTTCCCGAATGAGCATCTAAATAATAATTTAAAAAAAAATAAAAATTCTCTACCAAATAATCTATATAGCAATCTCACAATTGTAGACTTCCCCGAACCTGACCCTCCAACAATAGCAACCTTCATTCCAGAGGGAACTTCGAAGGATAAACCATTAAGAATCATTGGTCTAGATGGAACATAACTTAAAATAATTTAAATTTAAAAAAATTAAAAACAAACAAACCCAAAAACAACATCTTCAAAAATAATCTTTGACTGCCTTTGTGAAATAATTAAAGGTTTGGCATATGGATTCTCAACAATTCGACTTTTCTTTTCTGTTAAAGCAAACATAACTTGCATATCAAGAAGACCTTTTTTAATAATTTTTATTTATTAAAAAATATCTTTTAGAAACCTTGTCGAATATCACGATACATTGACCCAAGAAAATTTAAAGGAATTGACATTTGAAATAAAAGTGTATTAACCAAAATTATATCACCAACAGTCATTGTTCCTAAATAAAAATAAAATATTTTTTTAAACAAATCTAACCGTTTTTAACATTTTCTGCCGCTAATGCCATTACTCCAATAAGACCAGCACTAAAAATTGCATTTTGAGTGAAATTCAATAATGCAAGTGAAGTTGATGTTTTTAATGAAGCAAATTCAAAACGACGAAGAAAATGATCATAACGATCAGCTTCTAACTTTTCATTGTTGAAATACTTAAAATACAAATTTAAATATAAGAAAGGGTTGGTAGCAGGGATCGCGCCGATAGAAAATCAAATTCTCAATTTCGAATTCACAAATTTCGAGAATCGTAAATCGGGACGGCACTATCCCTGGCTGGTATTTAAGAGAGAAACGATTTTTCCTCAATATTTAAAAATTATTTACATACCTTAACTGTTTCATAATTGATTAAAGAATCAATTGCCCTATTTCCGGCCTCATTATCAGCCTCATTCATTTCTAATCGAAATTTTGTTCTCCATCTGGTAATTCCTATTGTGGCAACTGCATACATTCCCAAACCTTCACAAAATTATTATTAAATTTTCTAAAAATTATTTACATCCAGTCATTGCAAAAGTAAATTGAGGGCCACATTTTATATAAAAAATTGTTCCAACTAATGCCATTTCAAAAATTGTAGGAATTATATTGAAAACAAGCTTTTTAAATAAATAATTTTAATTTAAAAATTTTTTTACCGAATTTAATGTTGTACTCATTCCTCGAGTACCTCTATCAATAGCTTTGGAAAGAGCTCCAGTTTGTCTATTTAAATGATAAGATAAATCGAGACTATGTAAATGTAGAAAAATATTTCGAGCAATGTCACGAATTGAGCGATGGGCAACACGTGCAAAAACAGCATTTCTCAACTAAAAATTTTAGAAATAAAAAAGAAATCGTCAAGTAAAAACCTCATTAAAAAGAGAAGTCCCTGCCCTAGCAGCACCATATGCAATAATTAAAGCAATTCCAGTTGAAAGGACAGCTCCACTTGGCGTTGACAAACCTAGAGATGAAAACCCAGAAGGAAGTTTTCCATCAAAATAATTAATTACATCTCTGAGGAGAAAGGGTACTTTAAAGTAATTTTTAAAAATTATTTTTCAAAATTAAAAACCTGTAGCATTTAATAATTTAGCTGCAACCAATAATGTCATAGCTAATATTACTCTTCTTTTAACATTCCATTCGCCTCTGGCAGGCCAAACATGTCTAGCTAATTTTTGTATCATTTGCCAATTATTAGGTTGAGGGCCACCAATTTGTATTGGATGTTGAATATTTGAAGGACCAGCATGGAAATGATGGGAAGATGTTTTAATTGTTCTCTAAAAAATATAATCTAAATTAACACTTTAACTTGTCAAAAAAGGACGAAAAAACAAATTGATCCAAAAACCTTTTTAATAAAAAACTAAACAAACCCTCAAATTTATGGCACATCTCCTCATGAAATAAGGATTAGAAAGCAAACGTAGAATAGCTTTAGCTTGCTTATTGACTAACATCTTTAAATCCAAAAATATTTTAATAAATTTAATATATGCAAGTAATCCAAATATAAAAATATTTTTATTTTAAATAAAATTAATTAGTATAAAAAATATAATTTCCGTTATTTTTTTTATTCTAGTCAGAATTGTGAGGATTATAAAATTGGGGAATTTTATATTATTGGCCAGATTAAAAGGTATCGACAAGACATATACACAAATTATGGAAAACGTTTATATTTTATGATTATTTCTAAAAAATACTTGGAAAATCAACGAGGTTAGATTAAATTAATTAGTTAGAATTGAAATAATCGGTAAATATATACGCAAATAAATGTTTAAAAAAGTCAGAATTAAATAGTACATAATTCTGAATTGCAAAAATAATTAATAAAGTTTATACTTTTTGCAATCCTTATATTAAAAAAATAAACTTACAAATTAAGTCATTTACAAGATTTTGATTAAAATAAAAATTAGACTTTTACAATGGCTTTTTAATTGAGAGAAACTTCTCAATAGGTCAAAGCTTTATGTTAACCTTTCTTTTATGCCCTAATCCCAAAGCTCTTCACTTCGTCCAAATTTGTAGGTGAGAGAAGCAATGAAGGTAAGAAGAGTGTGAAGGAAGATAGCAACACCTGGCCATTTAGGATTGTCGTTCTTTTGAAGAACATAATCACCAAACCTTTAAAATGGGATTTTTTAACTTAATTTAATTAATTGACTTACATAATCCATATTCCTGCGATGATACAAGCAAAACTGCCTATAAATCCAAACATAAGCCAGATTCGAGTGCCTAAATTTAATTTACAATAAAAAACAAAAGAATAGAACCTTTAACTCCAAGAACACCTTCTTCGGAATAAAGACCTTCAAGTGCACGATTTGACACAGAGTTAACCCTTAAAAAGCCATTTTAAATATTTAAAGAATAAATTACATAAACATTGATAGACTACATGAAACAGCGAGAGCAAAATACCTAAAAAATAAAATAATTGTTTGTCGTATAAAATATACCAATTATTCCAATCTCCAGTAGGAGTAAAAACAACAGCAGTGTCAATAACTAACCACCATGCAAAAAAGAACTAAAAAAAGTACAAATTGAAAAAATAATATTTTAAAAATACCAAAAATCCAGCAAAGATTGCAGAATATGTATTCCGTCGGGTGTCCCAGTCAAAAGATGCATTATGTTGCATTACGTCGAAACAACCAGCCATTGTTTTTGAGAATAAAATTATCAATAATAAAAACAATTATTTGCTAAAAAATTTAAATTATTGTCAAGCTAATAATTCACAAATGCAGAGAAAAATAAAGAGAAATAGCACAAGTTATTATTAAGTCGATAAACATCGCGAGACATTTATCGTTTAGGTAAATGCACAAAAAAATATAAAATTGTCTAAAACATATAAAAAGACATTCGTATTTTAAACGATTTTTAGAAAAAATTAAATTACAATCAAAATTTATTAAAGCGAGATTGTAAACAATTAAGGACAAATTTTGCGTAATATGTATGTTTTTATTAATGTATCTATTTGTGAAGTGATAAATTAGCAAAATAATCACGCTTCATTTAAAATCCCGCGTTATCGTTTAAAGGTCTTCAGGATTCATTGCACCAGCCAAAGCATGTGACAAACTTTCTTGGTCCACAATTCCGCCTGCTTGATGAGATTGTTGTACTTGCATAGGATGACCGGGGAATGCTGCATGTGGTGGAAGAGCAGAGCCATATGGCCTAGTAAAGTAAAAAGATGGAAAAATTTTCGACCTTTAGTCGAACAATTTTTAATTAAAAATTTACTGTAAAGTCTGATAAATAATTTGTGGAGGCGCTCCTTGTTGCATAAAGTATGTGGCCGGTGGTTGGGGAACAAATTGTGGTACACAACCTTGAGGTAATCCTACTGTCATTGGTGGTGGCAAAACTGTTGGCATAATGGCAACTTGAGGACCACTCACTACAAAAATATTCAGAAATAGTAAAATTAGAAATTTAAAAAACCATTTGGCGGTGTATTATTCTGAAAGGATGCAAAAGTAGTTGAATGAACCATTGGTCTTTGCTGTAAGACAATACGTGTGGCAGGAGCCAATATTGTTGGCTGTACAGCAATTGAAGAAGACACAACACTTCTAGATGATGTAGAGACAATTTGCTAAAATTAAATTATACATATGTGTATTTTTATTAAATTTATATTCTTATACTTTTTGATTTGTAACTGGTGGTGGCGGCGGTGTGTTATTGATATATTGTGAAAGTTGTTGCGGATCGACAGGTTGAAAAATAGTTGTAGACATCTTTGATGATGATAATGGTATGTTTAAAGTTGTTGTTGAAGTAGCTGTTTGAGACGGATTTATTGAGTAGCTAATTAAAAGAAAGTAAATTAGTAAAAAAAATATTCAAAAATAGTACTTTGCAGATGTCACTGTCTTTTCAATTTTAGGTTGTATCTTTTCTTTTACAAGAGCTTCCAACTTTGCTTTAATGCTCATTTCAACATTCCTCGGCGGGGCAATTGTCTTTTCTATAGTTTGCTCATTAATATTTGAATTAATGGGTGCAATCTTTTTTAGAGATTTTTCATTTTCAACAGTGATATTCTCATTGGAAAGAGTTTTCACTGGTATCCTCACTTCCGTCTTTTGCTCTTTTGATGGTTCAGAAATAGTTAATGCTAAAGGTATCTCAATTTTTCCTGGTTTGGGAGGTAAACTTTTCTGTTGTTTTTGAATATTTGAATCATCGTTTGAAGATACTGTTGGTAATTCTTGTATCTTTTGTTGTTTAGAATTCGTTTCAGCTTGAACAATTTTGTTCTTTAAGAGGGTGGAAGGATTTCGTCGCTGCCTTGTCGTCTGAGGTGATAGTGATTGCTGAGATGGAGACTTGTTGCTAGCTGCTGAGATATTCGTTTCAGTAAGCTTTTGTGGCGTTGTACCTTTAACAACAGGTTCTTTAGCAAGTGACGTTGACCTCTTCCGTTGCAAAGAATTTATCTTTTCAATGCCTGGTTTGCTGTTTGAGTTCTAAAAAATTGCGACATAAAATGTTTATATTAAAAGCCTACCTCTAATTTAGTCGTTTGCTTTCTTCCTCGTCCACGGCCAGCTTTTTTAATTTTAGTTGGTGCTCTCTTCTTATTTTTTGATGCTTTTCGTGGTGGAGGTAATTTTTTCTTTACTTTCATAATTGGTGATGGTAATTTATTTTTAATAATTGTCCTTTCAACATTTGATGTTTTATTCGCAGAATTTTCTTCTCCGTCATCACCCGAACTTTTACTGCTGCTTTCATCGCTAGATTCATCTTCTACATCTTCCTCGTCATCGTCTACAGCCTCATTTTCAAGTTCGACTTCTGCTTCCTCCTCTTCTTCATCTGCTTCTACTTCCTCTATTTCATTAGGCATAAATTCATCAGCGTCATCAAAATCATCATTTGATGATCGGTCTATCTTGTTTTCTAAAGCACTAGTAGATGGAAGACTAGGCTTATCTACAAAAGCATTTTTGTCATTGCGATCTTCTATCTATATATAATTAGAAAAAATATAATAATTTAAAATTTTATTCACTTTATCATCCTCAGTCTTTGTTTCATGTTCAGCTACATAATCATCCTCATTTTCAAACTCATCATCAACTTCAATTAAACGTGCGCCCACTCTCGCCGCTGCCCTCCTTAGCGGCCGACCTGCTTCAGTCAGTTTTTTCAGCCGCTTTGCTTCTTCTTCATCAGATGAACTTATACTTAATTTCTGTCTTTTGTTTTTAGTTCGATTTGATCTAGGTGCGTCAGAATCACTCGCACTAGGTTGTATATTGTTGTCATCTTCCGAAGTGCTTGTTTCAGTGTTTCGTCTGCAAAAAAGGTATTTTTCTTTTGATTAATATTTTCGCTACCTCTTATTTTTTGATTTAGTTTCCGTGCGATTCTTCTTTTTACCGCCAGCACGTCTTCTCGATTTTTCAACATAATCAGGATCAGAATCATCATTGATGAATTCATCATCACTTTTATGTCTAGACCACATTCCTCTATTTGTTCTAGTACGTTCAGATGGAAGGTACTATAAAATTCTTAAGTGAATATTAAGACGTATCCTTACCTCATCTTCAGATGGTTCAGGATCTTCTTCTACATTATCTGCACTACTCTCATGCCATTCGTCCTTAAAACATATTATGAAACAAATTCAAAATTAATATACAGTGTCAGATTCCGTAACATCATCAACATCTAAGTCGGTTAAACGCTTATTTTTCTTCACTGTCTTATTGTTAGCCTTTGGAGCTCGCCCCTTTGGTGGTCTTGCTGGGGCATCTCGTTTACGTGCGAGTGCATCCAATTCTTCTTCATCCTCATCACTCTTGTCTCGACTATCCTTCTGCTGCTCCCCGTCAACATATATATTCTAAAAACGTTTAAGTTCTAAAATTAGATAATTTAAAAAATTAGATACTTGCATATCTTTCCCACGGACAGCTTCACTTTCTGACATTTCATTCTCATTGAGTTTAGCATCTGGGTCAATCGAATGCATTGCTTCCTACAAAAGAATGTAATCAGTAATAAAAAATATCCTAATAATTTAAACCTGTAATTGCTCGTCATAAGAACGGAAATTATAGTCAACTCGTTTCATCGCCCGTCGACTTCTTCCTTCAGCCACTGTCACTATTGGACATAGATGTTCGATTTGCTCCATTGCTCGTCTTTGTAATCTAGATTTAGAAGTAACTATTTTCATTGCGCGTTTCTTCGATTTTCGTTGCAGATATTGCCCATCCTCACTTTCATCACTGTCCTCTGTTGATGAAGTGTTGACATGACCATCATCTTTTTTGACACCCTGTAACTAATATTAAAAACTGAACAGAGAATCATTTACCGATGGAATTATATTGTTCAGCGATATACCAATAAAATCCATTTCGCGTTTAAGTCGATCAGCGGCCGCTTCCTTCCTAAATGGGAATAGAAACGTTTAAATTTTAAATAAACAAACTTTTTCTGTTGATCTTGTATCTTTTTGTTGTCACGCAACATAAGTAAAGCATAAATAAGGCGATTTATAAGAGAATTATGTTCACACGGAGGGCAAAACCAATTCCCATCGGGTACATACCTAAAAAGGTTGTTGTTAATATTAAAAATACTTATTGTTATTTTCTTACCAAAGTTGCGGGCGGAGGCAAAAAGTGTGCCATGCATCATCGCAATTATCACAAAGAAGTAGCTTAAAATCGGATTTCATGGGATACGTTATGTTAATTTCAAACCAAATCAGGTCTGTCTACACCTTTACAATGCTGGCATAAACTCAGCTCTGTAGCACGCTTTCTTTCCTTTTCTTCCTCATCTGGCTCTGCCTCCTCATCATCGCTTGATTCATCAATAGCAAAGGCTGATAATTTTTTCCGATTAGCAGCTGCTAATGCTATTGATGCACGTTGGAGAGCAGCTATTCGGCTAGCACGTCCATCTCTTTATATAAAATTAAAAATTAACTTAAAAGCAAAAACAACTTTTTCCCTTTCTTTGTTTGTTTTTTCTTATTTGCTTTTTTCTTTGGTATTATTTTTCTTTTTGTTGGTGGCTTTCCAATTTTGCGTAAAGTAGGACGCTCATCACTATCCAACAAAAAATCATCATCAGAAGAATTTTCATTATCATCATCCTCTTCTTCCACTTCATTCATTTCCTCTTCATCGCTATTTTCATCACTATTGCTCCCAGCAGTAGAAACAAAAGCCTAAATTTAAAATATACATAATTTTAAATATATATATTTAACCAGATTATGTTTGAATGTACTTGCAGAATTTTTAAGATCACAGGTGGAAGTTAAACGCGGTGAAGTAGTAAAAAGTTTAATATTTGAAATTGCTGCATTTCGTGCATTTCTTCGTGGAAGAACTCTTCGTTTGTCCTCCTAGTTTTTTATTGAAATATATGGAAAATTAAAATCAAAACTATACTGCATCGAGTTCAGCAGCAATGAGCGCGTCATCAATTTCATTAGTATCGTTGACCTTCATGTCACTAGATATCGCTTGTTCCGGCGTATCATATTCCTTATTATCGTCTAAATTAAGTTCATTCTTGATGTCTTCCTTGTCAGTTGCAATATTTTTAGATGTAGATGGAATTTCAACATCTTCAACAACTTTAGTATGAGATACATGATCCTTTTTCTGCTTATCACGTTCGAGTTTTCGCTTAAAGTAAACAATATTAGAATGATATAAACAATTTTCAAAGATTTTAAGGTAGCACTAATCAGAATAATAAACAAACCTTATTTAACAAATCCTGTTTTCTGTAACAATCCCAAAGTATTTCTGACTTTGTTTGCATAATTATCTTCGCGCGTTGTGCTTCATCAAGTTTAAATTGCTTAATGTCAGTAGATGTTTTTTCTTTTGTATCATTGACGTGATTGCTAATATTTGAAGAAATTGAAGCCTTTTTTACAATCGACTTTGGCGAATCCAAAAGTTGTTCCTCATCCATTTCTTCTGCATCATCGTCTGGCTGATCCTCTGAATTTTTCTTTCCAAAATCTGGACGTTTTAACGAGTTGATTAATTCGATCAATTCCGTTTCATTTTTAGCACGCAGTGCCCAACTAGTGCCTGCTTCATCCTCTGGCTCTTCTGTATAAACACGTAAATCTAGATCACAGTCGATTTGCAAATAGTAGATAAGACCAACTTTGTCACGACCAAAAGGAGCAATTCGAAGCTCACAGTTTCGAAATGTATTTGAAATCTAAAAAACAAAAAATATATACAACTCAAAAAGATAAAAATAAGTGGATGAACATCGGTATTGAGAAAAAAATAAGAAGGCATATTTTTGTATGGTTTATGATTTTTGTCCTAGTGTTGAGGGTAGTATGTGTAACGGCCTCAAAATAGTGAATAACTAATAAAAATTCTTACATTTTCCTTAAATTTTGCATTACATTCAAATTGACTGTCACATAGTGCTTTAAGAAGAGATAATTTTGTATCAATCGAAATATCCACATAATGATGGCGCTGAAGCTGACGAGACTCATTGTCCAAGCCAGGACATATTGCACTAAATTTTTGTAAAGCTTTGTCCCATTTATCAGCTCTCGCAGATTTTAAATAAATTTTACGCATTAATGTAACATGTAAATCGACAAGTTCAGGATCAACTAAAAAATAATAAAGGGTAAAAATAATCTTTAAAAATACCATCTCCATTAATGAGTGTACAGAAAAACTTATCCAATTTAGCTATGGATATAGGCTTTAAACCAAGCAAATGAGTAAATGTATTGAAAAAAGAACAAATTTCGGCAAAAGTTGGATTTTGATAAAGTAAAGAAGAATCCAAATGTTCAATAACATCCATTTCTTCTTCATTTTGATTGTCAATATTTTCATCATCTAATTTGATATCGCCTTCCTCAATGTTCATTTTTTCATGAGATTCTATACTATCATTTGTTTTATTTAATTCTATAGCTGATTCAGGTATTCCATCAACTATTGAATTCGAAACATTATGCGAAACAGCAGTATCTTCTACAAAAATAGAAACACATTAAACGAAAATTTTTTTTGTAATTAAGGAATAATTAATTATAAAATAAATTAATTATAAATAACAAAATTTAATAAACCTTTAGAAGATTTTGTTAAAACTGTTGATTGCATATCTTCATCTAAATTTTGTACATTATCACTTTCTTTTTCTCTTGAATTTCTATTTTCATAAGGAGCAGAATTATGTTCGGATGATTCAGTTTTTGTGAGTTCCTCTTTAGAATCATCAAAATACTCAGAATTATTGTCAGTATTTAAATCAATATTAATTTCTGCTTCATTTTGTTTATTAGTTTCCAAATCAGTAAATTCATTTTTTATGTCAGAATCATCACTTCCTTTTTCTTCAGTCTTTAGAATATTCGTCAAATTCGTGTCAGATTTTGCTTCAGAATCATCATTATTCTTCTGGTCAAGATTGACTCCTAAATTTTATTTAAATTTCTTTTTTTCCTTATAATTTTTTTATTTTTTTGCTCACGTTGCATAATTGTTAAAATTTTTTCCAGAATTTTACTATTTTAAAAGTGTTTAATTTAGTAATACCCTGATATATAGTTCGATCACCAATTTTTACAGGTTTGTTTTCAGTGGTATCCAAGACTTACGGACTACATGAATGTAGTCAAACATTTTAATTTAGATGTTGAGATTCGAAATTACTTACTATTAATAGAAAAAATCAACATTATGTAACCTGAGGAAAAAAGGGACAATAAAATCCAAATCCCCAAAAAGATTTATAAATTAATCAAATTCAATAAATTAATAATTATTAAATTTATAATTAATACTCAATTTTTTAAAGAAAAAATTTACCTGTCTGATTGAAAGATGAGTCATCAGAAATTATAGAATTACTTTCATCCATTTTATTCAAAACTTATTAACAGAATTGACTAAAAATATATTCTTCAAATATAGTAATATTTAAATCGAAATCAATAAAGCATGAAACTAAATTTTTGAAAAACAAAAATAAAATTTTAAATAAAACAAAAAAATTTTTGGCCATGAGTTTCTGTTCCATTAATACTGTATTACAGAAAATTTTAAACATGATTCGAAAGATCTAGTGAGACTGCACCTTTTCCCAGCTGTGAGCATCCTAACAAAAATCAGTTTTCCGTCTGCAACTTTTTGTATGATGATCAGATACGAAACATTTCGAATCATGTTAAAAATTTCTGTAATATTAATAGAACAAAGAGTTATGACCAAAAAAACGGCATATTAAATCACTTCCGAATTATATTAGAATTATCAGAATCAGACGAATAAGAAGTTATGGCCATATACTGAATCGGCAATACTGAATCGTCCTTTTCCGGTACTCCGTCCCCGAATTAGAGACTCGAAAATTTTCCGTCCCCGATTTGGAGCGGGTCAGTTGAGTGCCACCAGTTGATCGAACCAATTGGAAACGACAAATTGAGATATTTATTGTCATCAATTTTAAAATTCTTTTAAACAATTTTTTCATTTTTTTGTTATTTTTCCCTAGAACATTATATTTTTTTGGCTGTAAACTAAAATATAGCGTATATTTCTTTACTAAATGGATCGTCAACGGATTGCAGGCTTGGGTCTTGGCGGTGCTATGGGTGCAGGCCTTTCTGCAACTCCACATGATTCAAATCAAGTGGATACATCTGAGACTGTATACATAAGCTCTTTAGCGTTGCTTAAGATGTTGAAACATGGACGGGCTGGAGTGCCAATGGAGGTACTTTTTAATTTATAAAAAGAAAGATTATATTTTTAGGTTATGGGTTTAATGCTCGGAGATTTTGTTGACGATTATACTGTTAACGTTATTGATGTTTTTGCCATGCCACAATCTGGAACTGTATGTTATCTTTTATTCTTAAAATTTTTGTGTCACCACTAATTTGTTCTTTCTAATAATTTCAAATTTTTAGGGTGTTTCTGTCGAGGCTGTAGATCCCGTTTTCCAAGCAAAAATGATTGATATGTTAAAACAAACTGGCCGTCCAGAAATGGTTGTTGGTTGGTATCATTCTCACCCAGGTTTTGGTTGTTGGCTTTCTGGTGTTGACATTAACACACAACAGAGTTTCGAGCAATTGTCTAATCGTGCGGTTGCTGTTGTGGTTGATCCGATACAGTCCGTTAAGGGAAAGGTTAGAAATTTTGATAAAATTATTTTCCAACTAATTTCAATTAAAGTAAATTAAATTTAACTGCAATTATTGCCAATTATTAAATCAATTTAAACAATATTATTAAGGTTGTAATTGACGCATTTCGTACAATTTCTCCACAAACTGTCGCTTTACAACAAGAACCTAGACAAACAACTTGCAATATTGGACATTTGCAAAAACCTTCAATTCAGGCACTTATTCATGGACTAAACCGTCATTATTATTCTATACCAATTGCTTATCGGACAACAGAGAATGAACAACAGGTAAAGAAAGATTTATTTTAACTATCAAAATTAAATTTTAGATGTTATTGAATTTAAATAAACGAAGTTGGATGGATTCAATGATGTTGGAGAAATATACTGTTCATTGTTCTACAAATCAAACATCCGTTGAACAACTTTTAAAATTGGCAAAATTATATAAAAAAGTAAATTTTAATTTTTGTTTTAAAAATTAATTTAATTCTATAGTCAATCGAAGAAGAAGCTAAGATGACTGAGGAACAAATTGCGATAAAAAATGTTGGTAAACAAGACCCTAAACGACATTTGGGTGACACTGTTGACAAAATGTTAGCTGACAATTTGGTTCAAGGCTCTGCAGCGATGCTAGATGTTTCTGTTTTTCAATAAATGAAAATTGTTTTTAATTGAATTGATAAATGTTTTTTCATGTATTACATTTTTAAAATAAAGTTATTTTTCGTTTAATTTATTTGTAGATTTTGTTTTTCATCAATTAAAATTTTGTTTTAGGGGAACTTAAGCTTCTCTACATTTTTTTAAATAACTTTATGTACAAAGTTTGTGGGATTTTTTATTCCAATGACAGAAAATGGTGTGGGCAAATTTTTCCCCAAACAGATGAATATTACAGGTACTATTGATGTGTTTTTTATTACTTGCGTTGAGTTTAACCCCGATTTCGTGACGGGGTACAACCCCTACTTTTTAAGGAGGGTAAGAGGGGCACCCTGCATCCAACATGTTTTTTTTAAATTTAAGAGCGGAGATTGTCTGGATTCTGTACAAACGAAGTTGGTTTTCTACTTGACTTTAATGGAGTTGCATCCACACCAAAAAGTGCTGTTATTGGAAATCCTTTGCGATACATATCTTTTGATGATAATTCGGGAAATAAAGTATTTTTATAATATTTTATGTAAATTAATGTTTTTTAGCTACTCAATTTTACTGGTTCAGCAAGTTCTATCGATCAAAATTGTAATGGAAAATATTTATCAATAATAGCTGGATCAAATTTTTGTATTTTTGATTTACATAAAGGTTTTTTGAAATTTGATTGAATATTTCAAACCAAATATAGGTGCCATTTTGCGCGAATTCCATGAACACGATGGTCCCATTTTAAGTATTGCTTGGCATCGTACAAGCCCTTGGCTGCTTGCGAGTGTTGGCATGGATTCGACTTTACGCCTTTGGGATTTGCGTTTACACCCTGCTCAATTACAAATGCGGCGAACAGCACGGCCCTTCACGTAAAATTTTTTTAAATCTTTCCTCAAATACAATAATTTTCTTCAATTTTTTTGTATAATTATTTTCAGTTGTTTGGAATATTCTCCAGATTGTAATTATATAGCATGCGGGGGACAATTTATTTCAGTATTTGATTTGAATATGACACAATCTGTTCAATATATGCCCTGCAATTCACCAGTAACTTTTACTTATTTTAAATTTATTTTCAAGGGTTCTTAAAAACTTTATATTCGTTTAAAAATTTAAGGCAACCAACATTCGATTTAATCCTGCCGAATGCTTGTTGGCAACATCACATGAAGATCAAACAGTTCGGTTTGTTTTTTATATTTAAATATTATAGAAAAGATTTTATTTTTAGTTTTTGGGACATAGATACAGGTAACTCTTTTAAATAAAAATTTTGATTATAAATTATAACTTTAGCCACTGGACAGGCAATCTAAAATTTATAGATTTTAAGCCACGTCTAGACCTTTTATCTTCCCTTTAATAATTAAAAATATTCAGGAGAATGCGTTACTCAATCACCCTCATTTGAGCGAATTGTGGGGCAAATCTGTTTTCCACCTGATGGGAAATATTTAATAGTTAATATTGGAACAAAAATGTGAGGGAATTATTTTTAAATATAAAAAATTGTTGTTTTAATTAATTTAGTTGCTCTATTAGATGGGAACCATTTGAATTGTTATCTCAAGTTTCATTTCCATTTGGTGGTCATTTCCCTATTAATACTTCTTTACAATTTCCTAATGATTTGAATGAATTTACACCACTTACACATTTAGGTAAATTTTTATTTAAAATATTTTTTAATAAAAATTATTTAAAGACATAAAAGTCCAAAATAATTTAATGTTTGGGCTAAGTATTGTAAATGAAGATTCTGACAAGATTGGTACTGTTTGTCTTTCAACAATTAGTTTAGATGTAAGTTTTTTTTTAAACTTATAAGTACAATAGTTGTTATTTTTAATTACTATAATTTAACAAAATCGTCTTGAAGTTAGGGTAAAAGAGCTTTTTAGGGCATATGTATATTAGGAAATATTGATAATTATATTCTTGGTGTGTCTTATTCTTAGGCAAAATATTTTTTCATAATTACAAATACATACAATTTCTTTTAATATGCTTTTTATTTTAGCTATGCAAAAGTACTTTATTTGAAAATTTTTAAAATTTCTGAAATGTTTTCCTATACTTACTCGATTTAATAATTCAGAGACTTGTTTTTTCAATAACCCTTTAAATGGTTTTTGACAGTTATTTTACCCATTTTAAAATAATTGTTACCTAGCAACTAGGAATGACCCTTCAGATTTGGTTACTTTTTTAATATGAAAAAACTTGGACAATAAAACAAAAAATTTTAATGTTTATTTTTTTTTTAATTTTGACAGAAATTCGAAAATTACTTAACTGTTGAATCTCCAATTTTGGATTGTGTTGAATATTTACCCAGTAATAGCATTCCCCCTCCTTGCCCTTCAACAACTTTCGAACTAAACAATATTTATAATGAAGGAAATGAACTTGAATTTCAAAAAAAGATTGATGTTACACAATTAACAGATGAAACGACTGATATTCCAGAATTAACTGAGAAAAAGCAAATAGTTGAAAATAGTATTAAAAGTGTAGAAGCGTCACCGTCTAGGGCGGTGAGTAATTGCATAGTTTTTTGTAAATAAGTTATTGTTATCCTTATTTTAGTGTCACCAAAAAAGACCAACTGCCCTTGAAGGTTTAAGTGGTAATATTTCTACCTCCTTTGAAAGTGGAGGAGGTGTTTGTCACAGTTCCAGCGCTAGTACTCGCTCCTCTAGTTTTGATTTACGTAGTCCAACAACCCTTAATACAAGAAAAATTACTTCTAAAATCATCCCTAAAGTAAATCAACAGCCAAAAGAAAACAGGAGAACGGAATTTAGAGTTAACAATGTTAGTGGAAAACGACCAAATAGATTACCGGTTCTTAACCATAATCAACAACACCATTCAAATTCATTTAGTTGTCACAATGGAGAAAAACCTAGGTAAAATATTGAGTTGAAAATAAAAATTTGTATTAAAACTTAATGTCAGAAATTCGCATTTTTATTATTGAATCAAATGCACAAGTATAATACTTGTACTAAATTTCCTCTAATTTTCTCCACAAGTTCAAATATCAAATTGGGTTTGTTCAATATTTAATTAAAAAGCTTGGCGCCTAATAGGCCGCGCGCCTATTCGGTCGCGCCTTTTTTTGCCCGCGCCTTTTGGGTGTGTTCCTTAAAATTTGCGTTCGTTTGGCATTATTTTTAAACATTTAAAGCATTACATATTTAAATTTTTTGACTAAATTTTTATTTATTCCTTTGAAAATAGGAATACCATTTTGTCTCGATTTGTATTTATTCTAGTTGTCCTAATTATTTACTTTTTTGATTAATAAGTTCAATTGAATTAAAATTTATTTATTCAGTGATTTTACTCAAAAACAATTATTCCGTCGAGGAAGTTCTTTAAACGACGTTTCTGATCCTATCAATAGCAATAACTATAACAATATGCCTACTAGTTCATCAACTACATTGAAGAATCGCTCAAAAAGTCAAGCTCAGAAGGGCCGCGCTTCAAAATTCTCTACCTCTTCAGCAAGTAATTTATCAAATTATTCTAATTCTATTTATGACAGTTATTGGAAACAATCGTCAAAAATCGGAATCTGATTCGGATGACGAACTTGATGAATTCTTGCAGGTAAATGATGTTTTCTGAACGATAAATATTTTTTAACAATATAAATTTTTAGCAAGATCCAAAGATTCGTGCTAAGGTTTTGAAGCGAACAAATGACATAAAGGCCTCTCTCTCTCGATCAAATGGTGTAGATGGAAATACCCGTATTTTTATTATTTTCATGTCCTTTTAGAACAAAATATTTTAGTGGAGTTTCTTGTGAAAGAAACTTTTCGTGTAGATGATCCACTCGCGTTTGCTTTTCTACTTGATCAATATATGGAACGGAAACGCTTCAGCATGACATTAAACGAGATCTTTTTGTCGCGTGTAGATTCTCTTCTCGTTCACAAGAATAAAGAATGCGTCCAATTAGGACTTAACTTTCTCAATATGGTCACTTCACGATTTGGCAATGCAATTGTTCACGGTCTTGCATCACAGGAATTTACTATTGGAGTTGATGTGGAGGCTGAAAAACGATTTGAGCGTTGTACAGCTTGTAGAAATGCACTTTTTCATGTATAATTTTTTTTAAATTATTTTGATTTTAATTGAATATTAATTTTTAAATCATTTTTTAAATTTGTCTTCATTTTAAGATTCAACTAAAAACTTCTTTCTACACTGGCCAAATGAATTCAACGCAACTTTGCTTATTCAAGAATGAGATTTTGCCTATAATTGATCAGATTGTCAGCACTGCTAAGTTTCCAGAAGTCCATCCTCTCAATCTTCCTTAAGATGGAACAGAATTGCTTAATTGAATATATTTAAAATTTCTCTTTATTTTCTGCATGGGTTGCTCTACTAACTTTGTGCCTTTCTTCTCTTGTGATTTAAATATTGATCCACCAATTGCATAATTGCTCACATATGAATTGTTTTGACTCGAATTTACATTCTATACCTCTTTTTGTCTATAAATGAATTATTTTTATAAAAGTTTGGATTATTTTTGTTTTTTCTATTAAATTTTATACTTAATTCAGTTTTATACTTGATATTATATTTTTTACAATTTCCCTTTATATAATTTAAGTAATTTGTCAAAATGAATGCTCCTCCACGTTATGAATCTTTTCTTCTTGATGAGGGAGAAAAAAAGATTGAAATTGAAAAAGATACAAAAGTTCCAAATGCGGCAGTGTTTACTTTAAATAAAGAAGACCATACTTTGGGTAATATGATTAAACAGTGAGTTTATTTCGTTTAAAAATATTTTTTAATTTTCTCATTTTCCAGTCAGTTGTTAAAAGATCCTCGTGTGCTTTTTGCTGGTTATCGAAATCCTCATCCATTAGTACATAAAGTTCTTTTGCGAGTGCAAACTGATGCAACTACAACACCGGCTGAAGCACTTGATTCAGCAATAACCGATTCTATTGCAGAGATGTCACTTTTAGAGGAGCGATTTAGGGTAATTTCTAAAAATATTTTTTGTAAGTTTCTCAAACTTTTTAGGATGCTTTTAGAGAGAAACGAGAAGAGTGATTTCATCGGGAATATGTTGCTATTTTTTTATAAATTTAATCAAAAATATTTTTTTAATTCTTGTTTAATTTGTTGATGACGATCTGTGATTTATTTATTTTTCTATCATGAAAATTTGTGCTAATATTTTAATAAGATAATTAAATGACATCAGCAAGGCGGGTATTTGGTGGTGATGGAAGGTAATTACTTAGAGATGTTTTTATCTGTGTTGTTTTAAGATACAATGGATCAACATTAAATGGCAATGAAAAAGATTATATTAAATTTTCTGGTAAGTCTAATAAAGTTTGTTCATTAAGTATTCGATTATAATTTCAGACTATATTGATGATCGTTCGAGAGATTTCGACCGCGTGAAACGTGGCTATGGTGATTATTTTAAGTGAGTATTATTGTTGAGTTTTTAGGTTTTAATCGTGAAGGGTCTGAGGAAATGCGTTTACCGAGAATGCGTCGCCAAAAATTTGTTCCTCAAAAGAAAAGTGAGTTGGACCTATTTAATGAGAAGGAGCATATCCAGCAGGTTTTTAGTTCCAAAAGCTAATTTAAAATCTTTAGGGTGAATATTTTGATGAGCTCTATGGGGCAGAACATGACGATGAAATTATCGTCTCAACGGATCGTGGCGACCTTTTTAATTATCGTATAACGTATTTTACTTTTTAAACAATTGAAAACTTTTATTTTCAGTAAGTTTGACCAATGTGGATTCTCTAAGGAAATTGAAAAAAATATTAAAGTTTGTCTTTTGTATACTTTTTAGTCAGATTAACATTTTTAAGTTGCGAAAATATGAATTTCCAACTCCGATTCAAAGAGCTGTTATTCCTTTAGTGATGCGTAGTAGACGTATATTAATTTTAAATATTGTTTTAATTTTTTTAATATAATAGAAGATATTATGGGACATGCTCAAACTGGAAGTGGAAAAACGGCTGCGTTTATTTTACCAATTATTAATGAAATTCAAAGAATTGTTGACTTGAAGAGAAATAATTTGGGAAATAGGGCCAATTCTTTGGTGAACAAAGACTCGCCATATTGTATAATATTGTCTCCAACTAGAGAATTAGCTCAGCAACTTTATGAAGAAACTCGTTCATTTGTTGCAAGTCTGTGAATTGAATATTTTTTAAAATAAATTTTTTCAATAGATTTTAAATATTAAAAATGTTTAAAATTAATGTTGCTTAAAATTTTTAGGAACGAACGTTAGTGTTGCACAATCATATGGTTATTTTATTATTTTTTAAATTTATTTAAAAATTTAAGGCGATATTCCTATGCGGCATACATTAGACTTAAAAGACCAAGGATGTGATATTTTTGTAGTGACTTGTGGACGCCTTCGACATCATGTAATGGATGGGCATGTAAGTTTTGGGATTGCCAATTTTTTATAATAGAAATATTTAAAGATCAAATTGGCTAGTTTACGTTATTTTGTTCTGGATGAAGCAGACAAATTAATTAAAGTATAAAAATTGTTTTTAATTTTAAAAAATTGTTTTTATTTTTTAAGGACCGTCAATTTTTTGCAAGTGTTGATGAAGTTAAAAGTCATCCAAATTTGGTAAGTTTAGAAAATATATTCTTAAAATTTATATTTTTTTAAATTATTTAGTATCCAGATAATCGAATGTTATTATTTAGTGCAACATTTAGTAATGATGTGCAAATGCTTGCACAAAATCATTTAAAATCTGGTTATTATTTTATTCGAATTGGTAAAATGAACAAAGCTGTTGACTTAATTCGACAGGAGTTTATAGAGGTTTTTTTAAATAATTTTTGATTTTAAATATAATTTTAGGTTAAAAAACATGACAAACTTGAATTATTAATTGAAATGCTTAAAAAGAATTCTGTTCGAAAGATTTTACCAAATGGAGGTTTTTATTTTAAATTTAAAAATTTCTTTAAATATTAAATATTTAGAGGAATATTTAGTGCCAGAATTTAAAACTATTGTTTTTGTTGAAGAGAAAAGAGATTCTGACAGAATTGCAATTGGTCTTGTTTATCAAAAATTTAAAGTTATGAGCATTAATGGGTAAAAATAATATTTTAATTTTTTCTCAAATATTTTTAGTGACCGTTCTCAAAAACAACGATTTGAGGCGTTAGAAAAATTTAAAAGAGGAATTTTCCATATTTTGGTTGCGACTAATGTACTTGCTCGTGGTATTAACATTCCTGATGTTAAGCATGTGGTCAGTTATTTAATTTTTTTGCAATTGTAAAGAAGACGGGTTTTCTTTTTCGGCAGACCTTTTTCTTTACCATTCTCTTTTATTTAAGCAGTTTTCTCAAAAGACAAGATTAATTTTTTGACCGTTTTGATAAAAATGACTTTAGAAAAACCCTCTAAAAAGTCGGCTTTAAATTCCTTTTTTTTATTTTTCTAGATAAATTATGATTTGCCAGAAAATGAAAATGATTTTGAAGTTTATATTCATCGAATTGGAAGAACTGGCCGTGCGGGAAATTCAGGATTGACTACTTCGTTTTTTGACCCAACAAATTTTTCGAATACGTCTAGAGCAAATTATTATGTACAAGTGGGTTTTCAAATATTTGAATACTGAAATAATTATTTCATAAATTTAAATCTCTTTAAAATTTCAAAAATTGGCTATATTTCAGGTCCTTACTGATGCAAACCAATTAATTCCTGACTTTCTTCTGACATGGGCAAATGGAGAGAATTTTTATTCTTCTAGATATGAAAATGACTTTAAATCAAAAAATAATGGATGGAATAAAGAATTTAATATTAATTATGGAAATGATTTTAATTTTGAAGAGTCTACATTTTTACCTTATGGATCTGATGCATTTTCTGAACACGTTCTTGGAAAAGAAAGCAGCAAAACAGAAAATATTAGTAAAGAAAATAAAAATCAGAAGGATTTGGATGACGATGATAGTTTGTCTGATACGTGGTAATTAAAATAGAATCTGTGCATTATGCAAAAATATAATGGTACAATCTTTATTTAAGACTGCCTTTAATCGCTAAATTTATCAATATAATGCCTTTCAAGTCTTTTAATTTCTTATATAAAGAGATCTCTGCCTTGTAAAAGTTTTATGTATTTTAAACAATATAATTTTATAAATTTGAAATGTTCTTTTAAAATAAAACAACCAACAAATTTCATGAAAAATATTTTTTATTTCATTTACTTGCCTTTAACATTTTGATTAATTTTCCCTCGAAATGAGAATTTGTCTAAATTTATATAAAATTTAGATTTAAATTTTAGTTTGTATAGAACTTACGTTTACTTGTTACTAACGTCCAATCATCATTGTTTTCATTTTTGATTTTTTTCTTAAAAAATTAAATGTTAATCAAAAAATTTTATAAATTATTACCGCTTTTGGTAATTCTTCACCGTCCTCCCCAATTTGATTGTGCTCTTAAAATTAATTAAAATTCTTTAAAAAATTCTAGTTTAAATTAGACCTCTTTTTAATGCCTTTCCAGCTAAATTGTGCCAAGCTGGCAATTTCACTCCAAACTTTTCAAGTTCAACTGTCCTTCCCTCTTTTTTAATTAATTTGGCAGTTTCAAAAGCTCGCCGTTTATCTTGAATTGTATTGAAGAAGATGCGGCCTGATCTATAGCCCTAAAACGAATAATGAAGAATAAAAATAGAAAATAAATTTACTGATTTCATATCATTATTTGGTGCTGTAGAAGTAATAAATTGTATATTTGTTAATGGTGCTTCGAGAATGTCAGAAAATATTTTTCTCAAGATATTCTAATAAATGTATTTTTAATTGTTTATTTTTAACTTTATTTTTACCCCATCTATATAATATGGAACATTCGCAATTGCAAGTGCATTATTGTCATTGACATCAATTTTGAGTAGCAATTCTCGGATATCTCCATTTAGTGAATAAGGTAAATCTGTTAAAATTAATTAATTTATTGAAAAATAGAAAATAAACTGACCCACAATTTCAGATTTAACATTGTTTGGGTTGCCGAACAAACGTTTTAAAGGATTTCTACGTCCCATAATTTTTTAAAATAAATTAAGAAAAACTAAAAATGAAAAAATGATTGTTAAACAAATTCGAAAATTATACTCAATCGTCCTCCTAAATTTGCAGCGCTTGAAGTGTTTTAAAAAATTTTCATATTTACCTACAAAAAATTTTAATTTATGTATTTCTTCTGTAATTGTTTATTTTGTAAATTTCAATGGACGAATTTGATGAATTTTCACTTATTACAAAATTGGATCAACAAAAATTAACTCATTTACTTGTTTCCATTCCTGGCTCAAAAGAATTATTTGTAGAATCAAATCTTCTTCGCCCTTTAGACAAAATATGTTCAATGAAAATCTTGAGAAGTTTAAATTGTCAAAAAGTTCAACAACTTTATTTAGATAAAACAAATATTTGGGATGAACAAATTGAACAAAGAATATTTTTTATTCGGCCTTCAATTGCAATTTCTCGTAAAATTTGTGAATTAATTCGGTCAGAACCTGAAAAGTCTTATTCTATAATTCATGTTGGCAGCCTTAAAAATTTTTTTCTGAAAGAACTTGAAAAAAATGGACTCGGAAATGTTGTTAATTTTTATGAATTTAATTTAACATTAATTAATTTGTGAGTTTTTTCTTTAAAATTAAATTTTTAATTTATGAAACAACTCCAAGTGTTTTTGACTGGATTACACACAAAAATGGGAGGGTTTTACGAAGAATGAGATCGACATCTCGAAAAACATTCTCCCCCATATTTTCATTAAATAATATCAAAGGGGACCAATAACCTCTTTAGATTCTTATTTTATTTATTTATGTTTACTAAAAACAAAAAAATTTCTTTAAGAGAATCAGATTTGTTTTCTCTCGAATTACCTCAATATCCTCCAGAAATGTTTAATCGTTATTTTGAAGAATTAATTAAAACTTTTTGGCAACTCCAAACACTTTATGGACAAATTCAGACAATTTTTGGTTTTGGAGATTTTTTTCCAATTTTTGATAAACTTTTCAAAAGAATTTGTAATGAATTGGGGGAACCAACATTTTCTTCTCGTCAATTTATTAGTCATTTGTAAGGGTTTTTCTTCAAAAATTTCTCTTTCAATTCAATTTATTTTTCAGATTTATTTTTGATCGAAGACTTGATTTATTTTCAACTCTTCTTACTGGCCTCACTTACGAATCAATTTTAAATGATATGTTTAATTACAATTGTGGGAAAATTTCTTTTGGTGAAACTGTCAATTCAAAACTTTTTTCTTCCCAAAATTCATCAAAAGAAGAATTTCCTCCCCAAAAATCTTTTTTTCCTTTAAATAATTCTGATTTAATTTTTTCTTCAATTCGTAATTCACATATGACAAAAGTTTTTCCTTTTTTGAGAGAAAAATACAAATCTTTACAATCAAGTTTTGCTAAAGTTTCGAGTTTGTTTGGTTTTTTTTGAAAAATTAAAAATTTATTTTTTAGCAATTCAGAAAGTTGATGAAATGAAAGTTTTTGTTTCAAACGAATTTGATTCTCTACGTGATCAACAAAAACAACTAGAAATTGTTTGGATTTTTTAATTAATTTAAAAAATAATTTTTTAGCATATTTGTGCTTGTGAATATATTATTGAAAAAACACAGGGATTAAATGAACAACTTTCAATTGAAAATACAATTTTACGTGGGGAATTTAAGGTTTTTTTGAGGGAAAGAATTCTTTTCTAATTTATTTTTTAGCATTTGGATGTTTTCAATTTTTTATTAAAAATGATAACTTTAAAATATAATCAATGGAGTATTTTACAATTGGCATCCCTTTGGTGTTTACGGGCAAATGGAATTCCTGAAAAATATTTTTATCAGTTTCAAGAAGTTTTTTTGCATAGGTTTGGAGATTTTTGAAAGTTTTCTTTTAATTTTTGACAAAAATTCTGTCAAATTATTTTAATTTTCTTTTTAAATTAAATCCCTCTCTTTTAAAGGTATGGATTTGATCAACTTTTTATTTTTTATCAATTATCAATAAATGGCCTTTTATATAAAAACAACACTTCTTTTTCCCCTTTATTTAAAGCTCGTAATCCTTTCTCCAAACGACTAATTAACAAATCTGACAAGCAATTGGCGGCAATTAATTTTCCGACAAAAAATGAAATGAAAGGACAAATTTCTGAAAATTTAAAGTAAAAAAATATTTTTGTTTAATTTTTTCAATTCTTTTTAAGTTCAATAATTAATGGGTTACAACTAATTCCACAAAATGATGAGGAACAAAAACGGAGATTAAATAAATTAAAAGAAAATAATTTGGAAGATTTTTCTGACAATAAAACATCAACAAATCAAAATAATCTTGGTTTAGGTTATGTATTTTCAAATACTTATATTCCTTTAATTTCTTCTATAATTGATAGAATTGTGACTATGGTAAGGTTTTTAAAAGGATTTCAAAAAAATTTTTTTAATTTAATTTTTTAAGGGTTGGGATGAAAATTATTTAAAAAAAGTTATTGGAGAAGATTCAGTATTTTGTACAAATCCAAATGCTAAAGCTCCAGACAATCGAATTCGGCGTGCTTTACTTGTTTGTTTTGTTGGGGGTGTTACAGTTAATTTTTATTTTTTTTTCAATTTGAAAATTATTAAAAATATTAATTCTGAAAAATAAATTTTTGGAAGAAAACCCCTTTCATTTTATTAATTTTAGTTTGCTGAAATTGCCTCTCTTCGCTGTTTTGCTCAAAACTGTGATTTTCGATTAATTATATTAACGACACATATAATTAATAGAGAACGTTCATTTAAAAGTTATGCTGGATTTTCAGACTAAAAAATTAATTTATTTTTAATTTAATTAAATAAAAGATATTTTCTTTTTAATTTTTAAAAAATTAAATTCCATTTTAAGCCTTATTTTATGTTTGCAAATATTCAAGAATTAAACTCTATAAGATACCAAAAAATTAAAATTCTTGAGCGCATTCTTGATGCCAAAAACCGGCATTGCGTAAAAGAATGGAACGTGCGTCTTCAGCCATGTTAGCGATCCTCTTTAATGGAGGGATGAGAACTATATAGGATGGGTACTATTGTGGGTATTATCGCATCCGGATGCCTGGTTTCCGCATGTCAGCAACCGTTTGTCCGCAATGTTGAAGATGCCAGTCTGTTGTGAAAGTGGTGACTGCCGCGTCTTAGACGTGAGCGATTTTTCAGGTCTTTTATATGTATTAGTTATTAGGAGAAGCAATCCGGTTGCCTGGTTTCACGCCCGAGTATATGTATAAAAGGATAAAATTTTCGGTGATAGTTACCACTCAACTCTCTTCACAACAGCGCTCATCATCCTTCTCTACAATCAACAGTGCCTGCTGCTCGTCGACCATTTTACGACCAACAGTGCCGTTCGTTCTTCGCATTCAGTGCTCTGCTCGTCGACAACTTCGTTGCAATGTCAGTCCGTCCCAGGGAAGGCGATCTGAATGTCCGCGCAGGCTTCATCTTCGAGTCGGAGAGGTACAACTACAAGCTGGAGGAGCTGATTGGCGATGGTGGTTATGGACAAGTGTATGAGGCCGACGCCATCTCAAAGGGAAAAAAGCAGGACACAAAGCGACTCGCGGTCAAGCTGGAGCGACGTTCAGGAGCAACCGACATCGAGGCCCGCGTGCTCGAAACAGCAAAGGATAAGAACTGCCGCCACATTCCAAAGATTTTTGACAATGTAAGTTATATCGTGTTTTTAATTTTGGTCAATCTAACTGATTTTAATTTTTAGGGGGTCATTCAAAGTCGAGGCTGCTCATTCATTGCGATGGAGCTTAAGGGACGCGACCTGTACAGACTGCGGAAGGACCGGAACAATGGCAGTTTCACACTCGGGACAGCAGTGCGTGTTGCTCTTGTCACTCTTGAGGTATAAGATTTTGCCTTTAAAAAATTCTTAATGCAATAATTTGTATTTTTATTTTTTTAGGCCATCAGGGAACTCCATGAAGTATGCGGCTTCATTTCAAGGGATATCAAGGCGGGGAATTTTGTCACAGGACAAACGACAAGCGACGATATACGCAACATCTATCTGATTGACTTCGGCCTCTGTCGGAGGTACAAGGACGCGGTGTGTGCCTCAGCAGATCTTCCTTTTCAATAATTTCTTTTTTCAGAATAACAACATCATCGCAGCCAGACAGGATGTTGGATGGAGAGGGACGACTCGATATGGCTCGCGGAGTGCTCATCAACACCAGGACTTGGCGCGGAGGGATGACGTCGAGAGCTGGTTCTACATGATCGTTGAGATGACAAAGGGATCACTCCCATGGTCAGCGGAGAGAGGTGAGAAAATATTCGTTAATAATTTGCACGCGAAATCCTAATAACTTCAAATTTTTAGATCGGGCCGCAGTCTACAACGCAAAACTGGCAGCACTCAGCAACCTGGACGACTTCCTTAACGGCTGCCCTCAAGGCTACAGGGAGCTGATTGGTCCCATCATCAAACTCAAATTCGAGGATGCACCTGCCTACAAGGAGATGGCCAGGGTGCTTGAGAGGGTAATTTATGGGTCAAATAATCAGTTTCTTAATTCATTTTGCAGATAATCACTGAACAGGGAATCGACAAGAAAGCAAAAATGGACTGGGAAATTGCTGAGGAACCAGAGGTACCGGCTGAAGGCGAACAACAAATCGACAGCTTCCCAACATCGACTACACAAAGACGTGTTTAGAACCAGATGAATCGAGATGCTAATTAGATAAACCTGTTGTTGATATTTTTCTTGACTGTATATTTATTTGTATATGTTCACTTAATTTTTTGTTGCCTGTATATTTGAAGTTGTATTGCTATTGTGTGTAAATAAATTTTTAAAACTGTCGATTTTTTTTTGATTAAATAGGTTAAGTGTTTATTTAGATTGAATTTTAGCTTTCCTTAGTTAAAAATTTGTGATTTTGTACAAATAAAGTCCTTTTCAAAATATATCGGGCTTATTGTTTTCCCATTTGTTGCCTTAAAAATTGATTTCTCCAAACAACAAAAAAGTTCTTTATCGAAACATTTTATGATTCGTTACAATTTATTTTGCGACAAAATAAACTCCATTAACAAAAAGAAAAATTTTTAAGAAATTTTTTGTATTTTCTCGGAAAAATTTACTCTGCGACAAAATAGACTTGCACAAACTAGTCGCAGCAAAGTGTCCGTATTTCTTTGCTTTTTCATCGATAAATTTTTGACGAAAGTTTGTTCTACTTTTTTATCATTGTTTCGGTAGTCTTTATAAGCGAATTTGGCAATTATCGTGTGTGATATAATGTTATATATTTTTGTAGATAATTTGACTTTAATAAAACTCTAAGGCAAAGACACAAAACATGGGTGATGCAAAAATGGAAGTCGAAGAAGTGGCATCTTCAGGATCGTCAAATACTGCTCTTAAAAAGCGTTTTGAGGTTTTTGAGGCTTAAATAAAACTTAAAAGCTATTCTTAGGTTAAAAAGTGGAATGCCGTTGCTCTCTGGGCTTGGGATATTGTAGTGGACACTTGTGCTATTTGCCGTAATCATATTATGGATTTGTGCATTGAATGCCAGGCAAATCAAGTAAACTTGAATTATTAACGAATAAATGTTTTTATCTTCTTTTTAAGGCATCTTCAACTAATGAGGAGTGTACTGTTGCTTGGGGTGTTTGCAATCACGCATTTCACTTTCATTGTATTTCGCGTTGGCTTCGCACACGACAGGTATAGAATTTTACGACTTTTCTTTAATCTTTGGCTTGTTATTTAGGTCTGTCCACTTGACAATCGTGATTGGGAGTTCCAGAAGTATGGACATTAAGAGAACACTTGATTCTCTTTGAGACGATTATTTTTTTGTTGGATATGTAAATGACGAAATCTTATTGCTCTGAATAAAAATCAATAAATATTTTTCTTTTTTGATCTTTTTATTGTTTTGTAATAACTTTTTTACTTTATTCAATTTTAAACCTTCACAGTTCATTTTTAGGTTTTATTATCGTTTCCTTCAATTAAGTCTAATGGAAAAACCTACAAAGATGGCAAAAGTTACTCGAATTCTTGGTTTGTATTTTAAAAGGTATATTTTATTGTTTCCATTTAGGTCGTACCGGAAGTCAGGGTCAATGTACACAAGTCCGAGTTGAATTTCTGGATGAATCCAACCGTTCAATCATTCGCAATGTGAAGGGTCCTGTTCGTGAAGGGGACATTCTTACTTTATTGGTAATTTGTATTATTTCCTTTCATATTTCAATTTTTAAACATTTAGGAGGCTGAACGTGAGGCGCGTCGTTTACGTTAAGGCAGATGTTAAATCAAATCGAGATGTCATTAAACTTAAATTCTGTTGCTTATTGTTATTTAGACATTAAAAATGTTGTCTATTAACTAAATTTTATTATTTTTAAAAGTGTATTTCGTATCCTTACGAAATTTTTATTTCTAATACATTTTTATTCAATTGTCTAATCTTAAGTTTAGAATAACACAAGCAAATGGCTCTCGTTAAAGTAGTCAAAAATCGCGCTTACTTCAAACGCTTCCAAGTTAAATTCAAGAGACGACGTCAGGGCAAAACTGATTACTATGCACGCAAACGTCTAACTGTCCAAGACAAGAACAAATACAACACGCCCAAGTATCGACTTATTGTGCGTTTTACAAACAAGCGAGTTACTGCACAGGTTTTTTTGCCTTTATATCCAGCACCGAATTGTTGAAATTTTAATCCTTTAGATTGCTTATTCTCGGATCCAGGGCGACATCATCGTTAACGCTGCTTATTCTCATGAGCTTCCTCGTTACGGCATCAAGGTTTCTCAGTTTACTTTGAGCTCTAATTTTTAATATACGTCTTTAATGAATATTTTTATAGCTTGGCCTTACCAATTATGCTGCTGCTTATGCAACGGGTCTATTGTTAGCACGCCGTCATTTGCAAAAACTTAAACTCGATTCAGTTTATAAGGGAAAGGAAGAGGTTGATGGAGAATATTATGATGTTGAGGGTAGCAATCCAAATCCGTTTACTTGTGTTTTGGATGTTGGTTTAGCAAGGACTACCACTGGCGCCAAAATATTTGCTGTGATGAAAGGTGTTGCTGATGGTGGGATCCATATTCCTCACAGGTTTTGATTTCTTATAATTCCAATATACATAACTTCTAGTGAGTCTCGCTTCTTTGGTTTCGACAATGAGTCAAAGCAATATAATGCTGAGGCACACCGGGATCGTATTTTTGGGAAGCACGTGGCTGATTACATGAAGTAAATTTAAACTTGTTTTAATTTTCTAATTTATTTTTTTAGATATTTGAAGGAACAAGACGAAGAGGCGTATAAACGCCAATTCTCTAAATTTCTTAAAGAAGGCATAGAACCAGATTCGGTTATTTTATATTTGATCATTTTAATAAAATGAGGTTTATTTAAGATTGAGGGTATTTATAAGAAAGCCCACGAGGCGATTCGTGCTGATCCTTCACATACAAAGAAAGAACCAAAGAAGCCTGCAGAGAAGAAACGTTGGAATGCTAAGAAGTTAACTTTGCGTGAGCGTAAACATCGTGTCGCCAACAAGAAGGCATATTTGTTGCACTTGAAGGATTTACAAGGACAGCAATTGGAAGCATAAAGATATTGGACTTTCCTAAAAATCTGATTATTGTTAAATGTTTTAATGAAAAGTTAAATGTTATTTTGCTGTTTGTTAATAATATATTTTTTACGATAACGATAGAATCGTTGAATAATTTTTGCTAGAGGTTTAATCCTAAAGATAATCTGACGTTTTTTTTTGTCATTTTGAAAGTATATCCTTATGAGAAATGAAATTTGCTTCGACTTCATCTCCTTTACTAGGAGATTTGTTGCATTTTTGTCTAAATTATTTAAAACATTCGAAAGGTAAAAGACTTTATAACTTGATAAAAATTTTCTCCATTGTCTTCAAAGTTTTATAATTTATTAGGTTCATTTCGATTTTTCAACAAATGGTCTGTTATTCCTGCACCTTTCAATGCAAATATTGCACGGATAGATCCTTGGTCATTACCTCATGTTATTCAAAGGGATTGTCTTCAATGGGAATGTGCGTTACGAGCAGAAATTTTGGCATCTCAGAGTAGACAAATTTTGTCTGTTTATTCATTAGAATGCAAAAATGTTTATATAACAAAAAAATATACAAAATTATTCCTTTCGACTGAAAATGTGAGTTTTTTAATTTTTGTCTGTTGGGGGACCTTATAATCTTTTAAGTGTGGAGTTTCTTAGGATTTGACATTCTCTTTTTTCGGTACAGTTATTTTTAATTTCCAGCTTTCTAGAAATGAAAAAAACTTCATTTAATGTAATATTAGCTTCTGGAACTTCTATTAGACTCAGCGAAGATACAAATTTAAATAACGATACGGAGATGTTAGGCGTTATACTTTCACGTACAAAATCTTTTATTGAGGTACAAATTCAAGAGGATAGAAATATCGACTTCTCTTCATTTGAAGTAAGTAAATTAAAAAAAAATAAATTAAAATTATTTAAACAATTTTTTATTTAAGGGAAAATCATTTTTAATTCAAAAATGGGGTTCTAAATCAAATATTGGACGATTAAAATTTTTAATGACTCGAGGAGCTGAATGGGAAGATTTACCAGGTTACGAGACGATGCTTTACGCTTATAAATGTATTAGGAGGATACCGAATTCAAATCCTTTCCCTTCAAATTATTCGCTTCGTGAAAATGTAAAATTCTTTTCAATTTTCCATATTTAAATTAATTTTCAGAATTTTGACAATTCTCAACAACTTGCCATTGAAGCAGTATTAGATTTGAATAAACCCTTAGTGGCTGTTCATGGTGCAGAAGGTACTGGGAAAAGTCGATTACTTTTAGAATGTATTGACATTTTAGCTAGACAGGTTAACAAAAATATTTTTTTGCGTTTTTAATCCGCAAATTTTAGGGTAAACGAATTTTACTTCTTTGCAATATCTCTTTGACACATCTTTACAGATTTCTACTTCAATACTATAAATTAACAAAAAGAACAGATTTTATCATTTTTAATGGTTATGATGAAGAGTTGTTGAATTCTTGTATTGATGATGCTGAATTACGTAAAATATTTGTTAATAAAAGTGTTAGAATGGATATAACATTGTCAAATGTTAAAGAATTTTGCGAACGTGATGATTGGAGGATTGCTTGCACAAGTGGAAGGTTTTAATAGATTTTTGAATAATTCTTTTAAATTCTTTTAGTAATTCTTTATTGGATGCTTTTGTTAAAAATAAAATTTCATTTGATTTTTTTCTGGCTGACGATGCTGGGCGAATTAATGTATGAATATAGATAGAAATCTGTTAATTCTTGAAGAAATTAATTTTTATATTTTTAGGAATGTGATAGTTGGCATAACATTCTTACTTTGGTTTTTATATTTTAATTAAGCATTAAATTCTTTTTGTTTTTAGTCCTGTCGTGCCCGTCTCTTCGGTGATTTCCATAGTTTATCATCTCCAATCCATAGCCTTCAAGCTTATCAACTTAAATTTCATCGTTCACTTTTACAACAATTGAGTGAGCAATTTGGTAGCGAAGTTAATTATTATTTGTCTACACAATATCGTTCAAATTCCAAAATACGAGAATGGCCTAATAAAATATTTTATAAACATGAAGCACCTTTAAATGATAAAAATGTTCGAGATATTTGTATTGGAGATTATTTAAATGAAGAAAAAGTTGAAAAGAATAATTTAGTTAAAGAACCTTTTGTTTTGGTTGATACTTCTATTTTAAGTGGAGAATGGAATAAACAAATGTTTATTGTAAGTTATTATTTTTGTAAAAATATATATTTCTAATTTTCAAGTTTTTAGACTCAAAAATTTGGCTTTGCATATTTAAATTGGGGTAATGCTTTAATTGCTGCTGCACATTTTTCAAAATTAATTGAATGTGGTTTTAAGCCTGAAATGCTTTGTTATATAACTTCTAATGATGGACAAAGGATTTTAATTGGACATATTCTATGTTTATTTATTAAAGAATATTTTTAATATTTTTTAAAATTAAAGCTATTCTTCTTCCTACATCTTTTTCTGTTAATCGTCTACTGATTGGAAAATCAATTGACACACTTATTGGTCAAGAACCCGAGGTTATTATAAAAACAAAAACATTTCAACACCCTTTACATCACTCATCAGAACCCCATAAAAGCGATTTTAATTTGTCTTTGTGGAATTTTGAGGTTTAAAAAAATAATTTTTTAATCAAAATTTTTATTTTTAGATTTGCCATGCTAAACGTCAATTCATGGCAATTTTGCAGTATAGAGATTTAGCATATAATACTTTACCTGAATTTAATGAATTACTAAAATGTTTTAAACAGAGCGGATATATTTGTGGGCCGAATGATATTTTCAAACTTAAATTTGGAGAATTTGAAGAAATTAAAAGAAGGGTAAAAGAAAAGGGTTTTGGATAAATAAAATTTTTGTTTAATTTTTTTGTTATTGAAATAAATGTTTATAGAATAATTTTTAAATTTTTTTGTTGTTTTTAAACAATTTTTAAGTATTTTAAATGTTTTATATTTAATAGTTTTATTTTTGTCAAAAGGAATGTTGGCTAGGAGATGTTTTTCCAATGGTTATTTTTCTGTTTATACACAAACAAATTGTTTTAGACAATTTGCCTCAAAAAGAAATATTTCTACTCAAAATCAACGAAAAAATTGGTAAAAATATTTTTGAAAATTACTTTTATTTTAATTTAAAAAGGTTTTCAAACAAAATATTTTTCAATAGAAATGGATTAATTATTTTACCTCAATTACCAAATTTCTCTTCCGTGGCGCGGGCTGTAGCCGAATCTTCTCCTTCATTTGTATTTTGTGATGAAAATTTTTCTCTTAAAAAAGAATGGAATGAAAGATTTAAACAAATTGAAAAATTAAAAATTGGATATGATGCTTCAGAATGGATAATGTTGGTTCAAAAAAAGTATAGTGGTGGTGGAAAGGCTAGGTATTTTTGAAGTTTAAATAAAAGTCAATTTTACCGTTATTTTTATAGTGCTGTTGATTTAGATATAGCTGGTGTAATGGCACAACATAATGATCAAATTAACGATTTAATTGAACTTTGCTATAAACTTAGGCATACAGACAACGCTACAGATTTATTTCCATCAACTGAGTTTATTTAGATAAATTAATTCAAAAAAATATTTTTATTTTTTAAAAAGATATGCAATATTTAGATTAATACTTGAAAATGGTGATTTTGAAAATTTTATGAAAGTTTTGAATGATCCGGTTTGTTTTTATAAATTATAAAATATATCTAAAAATTATTTTTAAAGATTAATTTTGGATTATTTCCAAATGAACATTGTTGTTGTTTATTTTTAAATTATTTTTTAAATATAAATGATTTACAAAGTGCTGCACGTTTGGCTGTTTATGTAATGCAACAAGAAATGTTTTCTCAACCTCTTCTTAATTTTCTTTCTGTTCAATCTTTACTTCAATTTATTGAACAGGTTTTTTAAATAAAATTAAAAATAAAATTTTAATTTTTAAAAAAGAATCCAGACGGCTTCCCTGAGTTTGAACAACGTGTATTTCCTCAAAGAGCAGCTACTATTGAAGAGGAAATTGACTTTAATGAGGAAAATGTGGTCAGTTTGGAATTAATTTTATAAAAAATATTAAAAAAATTTTTTGTCAGAGAATTTTTCGTTTTCCTTGGTTAAAAACTCCTCATTTTGATGGACATTTTGATTTACAAAAAACAGATGAATTAATTGGTCGGTCATTAGAATTATTAAGTTGGAATTTAAAAATTGGAAAAAATAATAATGAAAATATTTTGACTTCCTCAATTTGTTTTTTGGGTATTTTATTGTCTGGAAAATATCAACAAGGATTGGATAAAATTGAAGAAATTCAGAATTTGGGTAATTTTATTTTTGAATTAAAAAAATTATGTTGTTTTTTTAGTTTCACCTATTAATTTACCTATTTTATTAAAAACATTTCAAATTGCAATTTCATTTTTGAAAAATAAACTTGAAGCTAATAGAAAAAGTGAAAATAATAATGAAATTGAAAATGGAGAAAATGTTTTGGAAAATCAACAGAAAGGAGAAGAATTAATTGTTTGTTTTTTTAATTGGGGATATTTTATGTAGTGGATTCGATCAGAGCTTTTCTATTTTTTGTCATTTTTTTCATTTCTCTACTAACAAATAAGTGAAGGAAGTGAACATAAAATAAAATACACTCTCAATTTTTTTAGAAAATTTTTAAATCTATTTTGGATAAAACCCAGACATCTACGCCATCCAAAATTGTTAAAAAATAAAAAAAGTACTGAAAAACGGATACAGAATCTCAATTAAACTAGGAAATTTAGAAAAGTAAATTCAAAGTTTTGTCTCGTTTTTTATAAATTTTTTTTTTAATTTTAGGCAAAATTAGAAAATATTTATTCATCCATTGCCAACACTAACGGAAATAAATCTCCAATTTTATTATGGCAAATATTACAAAAAGAATTACTTTCATCACAAAAAAGTTTTGAATTTTCTTTAATGAATGAACAGAAAAAATTATTTAAAGAATGGGAAAATAAAAGAATTAAATTAATTGAAAGTCAAGTAAGAAATATTTTAGAAATATTTTTTGGAAAATTTATTTTTTTTAGACAGAACGAATGGAAATTAATTTAAGATTAGATGAAATTAAAAAACGCCAAAAAGAAATTAATTATCAAAAAGATTTACTTCAATTCTTTGAAAATCGGCATATTTGGGAGGATAAAGCGCTTCAAAGACGTATATTAGAAGAGGAATTGGATATGTTTAAAAATAGGGGAAGTTTAACGTGAGTACCTAAACATTGTTTTTAATTTATATTTTTATTAATTTTTAAAGAGAAGAGGAATACGGACAAACACTTTTCCAAATGAGTCAATTACTTAAAGAAGGCAAAACAGCAAGTCAAGCACTTGAAACTTTAAAACTTGGATCAAATCCAGAAGAAATTCAAGTTAAGCTGACATCTAAACCAGAAAAAAGAAAATGAAAATTTTGGGAGAAAAAATATTTTTTTGTTTTAATTTTGTTTTGTTTTGTTTTAAATATTTTTTTTTGCTTGTTTTTGTTAATTTTTAATATATTGATGAGAAAATTATTTTAAATATATGTACATATTTCTTTAATTAATATTTTTTAAATAAAAATAATTTTATTTGAAAAATAGATATGGCTGCTATTAATAGAGAATTACAAAGCCGTTCCAAACAATGTAAATATTTAAATATTTTAAATTAAAATAATTTTTAAAAGTATCAGAACGCCTTTCTGAATCTTTATATATTTTGGATCACGATCCTTCAATGGCTCTTTATAGAATTCAAGAACATACAAATAAAGTTGCACCGAAATTAGTTGTTAGGTATGAGAGAATTGTGAATATATTTTTAAATGAAAATATTTAAGAAGGCAGCAAATGTCCCAATTAAATTTTCAAATTCAAGGAGCTTGTTTTGATTTGGATAACGCTATTAAGTTATTATTTTGAATAAAATTAAAATTTTATAAATAAAATTTTGTAAGGACTGTTGACCAAATGAAAACAGCACAATCTTCTCTTGAACGGATAAAGAAAATTTTGATTGGAGAAAATTGTGGTAATCAACAATAAATATTAAAAAAAATAAAATTAATTTTGACTTTTATTTTAATAAATCCACACACAATTCAATTAATAAATGGCAATTTATGCATAAAAACAAAAATATTTAAAAATACAAAAAAATTAAAAGGCACAATTTAAAACATAAAATGCGTTAATTAAAAAAGTTAAAAATATTTTTATATAAACAATTAAATGCAGAATCTGGTTAATTTAAATGTTGGATATTTTTTTGAATAAAAAGAAATATATATGAAGAATTGCACTAATTGTAAGCAAAATTATAACAAAAAATGGGAAATTATTTCAGATACAATACCCGAAAGGAGAAAAACAAACAAAATTGTTGAGGATAGGGGTTAGATAAAAGAACAGATATACTAGATATACGTATATTTAAATATATCTTTGTATTAGATATATTTAAGAAAAGTTTCTTTAAACACTAATCTTAAAATATGTTTTAAATAATAATATAGATTTAAATTTAATTAAACAATTTAGAATTTGTTATCTCTAATTAAAATAAAAAAAGGAGGAGGTTTTTAATTAATGTTTTTCTTCAAAAATCAAAGATTTTTTTTTAGTTTTTTAGAATGGAAATTTTTAAAATGAATAAAATTAAAAATTAATTTTTAAAGAATGAAATTTAGTCAAAAAATATATAAAATGCAGTTAAAGAATTTTTGTAATTTAAAGCATTAAATAAAAAAATAATTAATTTAAACAATAGAATGTTGTTGTTGTTCTCCTTTAAATAAATTTGTTTTAACATAGTGATGATGTCCTGGTTTAATATAATTTGTATGTTGTTGTTGTTTTTGTTGTTGATTATTTGTTAAAGGTGCTGGATGTATTCCTTCATCACTTAATTTTTTAAAAATTACTTTTATTTAAAAATTATTTTAATTTACATGTGAGGAATTTTGTCATTAATTAAATGGTCATGTTCTGGACTAACACCAGTACTTGTTGTTGTCGATATCCCACCATTTACTAAAACCCCATTTGGAGGAATAGCTTTATTTAATTCATTTTCTTCTTCTAAATTAATTTGTTGTTGTCGATTTCGAAGAACAATTTGGGGGGAGGATTTACATAAACACTAAAAAAAGAAAATAAAGAGGAAATTTAAAGAAAGAAATTACTTGATAACAAGAACAAACACAACAAATTGCTATAGCTAAAGCCTGGAAAAATTAAAAATAAATTTTATTTGGAAAGAAGAAAATTATTTTAAAGTTTTAGGGGAAGTTTTCAGATTATAAAAATATTTCTTTTTAAATATTATTTAATAAAAATAATTAATAGATATTTTATTCTTAATAAAAATAATTAAATATTTAATTTATTTACAATAATTCCAGCAACAAAAAATTCAAAAATGGAAGCACCAGAAATAGCTCCAACCAACTTTTCGTGAAGTTTCCTTTCAGGAGGTTTAAGTTTAGCACAATTAAATTGAAGTTTTGGGTCTTTATCTCTTTCTTGAAAAACAAATAAAGGGGAGCAGGGAATTTGGCATCTTTCTGTGCAATAATCTTCGAAAGTAAATGCTGCATTTGTTACTATTTCTTTTAAATAAATAATTTTTAATTAATTATTTTAATTTAAGAAAAAGATTAGATTCCAAAAATAATTTTAGTTAATTTATAATTTTATTTTTAAAATTTAGAGAGACACTCCTCCCCTTCCCCCTCCTCCTTCAACATTTTTTTCGAATATTAGATAGAATATTTATAGCTATTTTTAAATCCTTAAATAATTAAAATTACCATAATTTAAATTCTTTTTATATTGTTGTTGTTGTTCAGATAAAATTCTTGTATTTGACTTTAAATATTTAAAAAAATAATTATTATTTCAATTTAAATTATTAACTCTACGCCTTCCACCACCTCCACCCCCATTCCATTCTGACAATTCCAATTCATTTCCATTTCTTCCATTATTTCCATAATATTGCCCAAATTCTCCATATGAATTACCAGATGATTGACGCTAATTGAGAATTAATTAATTTATTTTTAAATTATTATTTACTTGATTATTAGCAAAATGTAAAGAAGAACTTCCACAATTTCCAAAAAGATTTAAACAAATTGAAATAAAAATAATTAAAAATAATTTTTGAAAAATAAATGAAAAATAAGAAGGCATTTTTTGTTGAAAATAAAATAAATTTGTAAATAATTCAAAATATTTTGTTTTTAATTTTGTCTGAAATATTTATCTAAATTAAACAAATAAAAATATTTTTTGACATAATTCATTAAATTTTGTATCAAAATTTGGAATTAATGTTTTTTTTATTTAATAAAAATAAAATAAATTTTTGAAAAGGTAAAAACAAGGCCAAGTGGATTGATTAGAAAAAGTAAATTTACAAGAAATTCTTCTTTTTTCTTCACAAAATCCCTCTTCGTTAAGGAGATGAAGGAAGAAATATACGGGAGCAAACTGTACAAACAATAAGGGGAAGAGAGAAATGTAGAGAGAGAGAAGAAGCTTTGTGTTATGGCAAATATATAGCTATTTACATTACATATTTAGTTAGTTAATAAATGAAGCTTTTACTTAAAATTTTGTAAAAATAAAAGTTGGGGGAAGGGGGGGGGGAAGCGCAAATAAAGAGAGACTTTTCTTCTTTTTCTGTCTAGCATTAATTATTGACTGATCAGATAAACCTGAATGATTAAAAATTATTTTGAAAGAAAATACCGATTTTGAAATTTGAGCTTTATTTTAAAATTTTTTTTTAATTTTTAAATAAATTATTGGATTTAAAAAAAATTATTGGAAAAAATATTTAAATAATGAATGGGGGGGGGGACTTTAATTAAATCAATTTATTTATTTATCGATTAAATTGATTTAAAAAAAGAAATAGCCAAAAAATATACATAAATGCATTGAGGAAAAAAATTAGACAAAAATATGAGTAATCAACGGCAAAATACCTTTAAAGGATCGTAAAAGGTTATAAAGAAATATATTATTTTATTTTCAAACAAAAAAAGGCAACATCAAAGCCAATTGCAAATAAAAAGAAAAATAAAAATATTTAAAAAGGGATGATTAAATAAATATTTTTAAATATATTTAGGAATTTTGAGAAAGGGAAGGGATTAATTAATTAATTAATTATTAGCCATTTAATTGAAGATATATTAGAAACAAGAATTATTAGAGACATTTATTTAATTTTGTTTATTTTTTAATTTTTAAATAAAAATTTCAAAAAAAATTATTTTCATGCTAAAAAAATAATTTCTGACAAATTATTTAAAAGAAATGATTGGCCACAGACAAAAAAGTTTGTGGCTTTGTTCTAAAAACAAAAAAAAACTTTCAATTGTTGAAAAATTATAAAATAAATGAAATGTTTGGGTGAATGATTGACAGATTTTGAATGCAAAAATTATTTAAAAGAAAATCATGAAAAATAAAAAAATATTTTTTCAAAATATCTTTAAATAAATAAATAAATTTATTTTTCATTGCTAGATATGTATTTTTATAAATTATTTTTAAAAATGATTTTTATCTCCCAACTGGTTAAACTAATTTACAGAGCCAATTCACAGACATATTTTTGTTAATTTAGTAATGACTAATTTATGTATTTTTAATAAAAACTGTTTTAATTAATTAATTCTTTTTAAATTAAAATAATTAATTTCTAATTTTTTCTTATTAAAAAATATTTTCAAAAATTATTTATATTTATTAAATTAATAATTTTTTTTATTTATTTATGAGAAAATGCCAAAATAGGTGGAAACAATAATAATTGTTGTTATTTAAATAAAAAAGGTTTTTGGCAAAAAATGTGTGAAAAAATATTTTTTTTTAAGAAAAAAAGGTTATAATAATATGCGCGTTAACAATTTAAGGCTTTTTAATTGCAAAATTATTTAAAAATTTTCCCAAACACGCAAACCTTTAATTCTTTATTAAAAAATATTTTTCTCACATTTTGTAATAAAAATGGGAAAAATATATTTGGTTTTGTGTATATATTTAATATTTAAATAAATTAGGTATTTAATTGGTTTAGAATTAATTAAAATTATGTAGATGATCAGAATTAATCATTAAAGGAAAAAATCTCTCATATCTCTCTTTCTAATTATTTAAACAAAAATATTTATTTTTGTAATTCAAATAATTTAAACAGACTTACTATATGCATTTTTTAGTTAAAAATTAGAAAAAAAACATCTCAAGAATGCATAAAATTGAAAATAATTTGTGGAAATGGGTTTATATGAAGGGAAAAGTCAATTCCCCCCATCCATTTTTACTTCTTGGCTTATTTTTTGCTTTTCGTTCCCCTTCTCAATTTCTTTTTTTCTAAAATGCAAATCTGTGCTGTGAGAAGAGCAAGCACATCATCAGTCAGTACTTTTAAAGAGAAGAAAATGATTGGAAGGGGGGGGGGATGAATGGACTAAAAATTAAATTTAAAATTTTTAATTAAAATTATTTTTTTAATAAATTTAATTTTTATATCCAAATATTTATGTAGTAGCCACTTAAAAATATATTTTTCTTTTTAAATATATTTTTGTAGGGCAAGTGAGTGTTTGTTTTGTATTTTTATTTTTGTGTTTACTTTTCTTCCCCAAAGATTTGTTGTAAAATAACCCCCAATCCCCTCCTTGTCGGTCAAAAATCTGTCCACCACCACAAAACATTCAACGGCGGACACTGTCCATCCATCCCTCACAGCCACTGTTCGTATTTTTGGCCGTTTATAGGTTAAAATGAAGAGGAAGAAAAAAATTGAGAAGCAAAAAATGTTAAAAATAAAAGTTGGGAAGATTAAAAATAAATAAAAATTTTGATTAAATTTTTGGAGGGTTATGAAGGAAGATGAACGAAAAAATCGAAGAGAAGGAAGAGAGAAGAGGAGTTTGACCGGAAAAATACCAAAATAATGCCAAAATTTTTATTAAGATATTTTAGTGACCTAGTAATTTTTTGTTTGTTTATTTAGGTAAAAAATTGTTTTTTTTTCTTAATTTTTTTATAAAAAATATATAAGGATTTAATTAAAATTATTTAAAATTATTTGTTTGTTTGGAGAATTAAGAATAATTTTTTGATTAAAAAAGCTAACAA